AAGTAAGTCTGACTTGAAATGTAAGTCTCGGACGAAAGTAAGTCTGACTTGAAATGTAAGTCTGACTTGAAATGTAAGTCTCGGACGAAAGTAAGTCTGACTTGAAATGTAAGTCTCGGACGAAAGTAAGTCTGACTTGAAATGTAAGTCTGACTTGAAATGTAAGTCTCGGACGAAAGTAAGTCTGACTTGAAATGTAAGTCTGACTTGAAATGTAAGTCTCGGACGAAAGTAAGTCTGACTTGAAATGTAAGTCTCGGACGAAAGTAAGTCTGACTTGAAATGTAAGTCTGACTTGAAATGTTAGTCTCAGACGAAAGTAAGTCTGACTTGAAATGTTAGTCTCGGAAGAAAGTAAGTCTGACTTGAAATGTAAGTCTGACTTGAAATGTAAGTCTGACTTGAAATGTTAGTCTCGGACGAAAGTAAGTCTGACTTGAAATGTAAGTCTCGGACGAAAGTAAGTCTGACTTGAAATGTAAGTCTGACTTGAAATGTTAGTCTCGGACGAAAGTAAGTATGACTTGAAATGTAAGTCTCGGACGAAAGTAAGTCTGACTTGAAATGTAAGTCTCGGACGAAAGTAAGTCTGACTTGAAATGTTAGTCTCGGACGAAAGTAAGTATGACTTGAAATGTAAGTCTCGGACGAAAGTAAGTCTGACTTGAAATGTAAGTCTCGGACGAAAGTAAGTCTGACTTGAAATGTAAGTCTCGGACGAAAGTAAGTCTGACTTGAAATGTAAGTTTCGGACGAAAGTAATTCTGACTTGAAATGTAAGTCTGACTTGAAATGTTAGTCTCAGACGAAAGTAAGTCTGACTTGAAATGTAAGTCTCGGACGAAAGTAAGTCTGACTTGAAATGTAAGTCTGACTTGAAATGTAAGTCTGACTTGAAATGTAAGTCTCGGACGAAAGTAAGTCTGACTTGAAATGTAAGTCTCGGACGAAAGTAAGTCTGACTTGAAATGTAAGTCTGACTTGAAATGTAAGTCTCGGACGAAAGTAAGTCTGACTTGAAATGTAAGTCTCGGACGAAAGTAAGTCTGACTTGAAATGTAAGTCTCGGACGAAAGTAAGTCTGACTTGAAATGTAAGTCTGACTTGAAATGTAAGTCTCGGACGAAAGTAAGTCTGACTTGAAATGTAAGTCTCGGACGAAAGTAAGTCTGACTTGAAATGTAAGTCTGACTTGAAATGTAAGTCTCGGACGAAAGTAAGTCTGACTTGAAATGTTAGTCTCGGACGAAAGTAAGTATGACTTGAAATGTAAGTCTCGGACGAAAGTAAGTCTGACTTGAAATGTAAGTCTCGGACGAAAGTAAGTCTGACTTGAAATGGAAGTCTGATTCTAAATGTAAGTTCTAGACTAAAGTAAGTCTGATTCTAAATATAAGTCTGATATTAAGATAAGTTTGTAACTAAAATTAAGTCTTATTCCAAAAGCAAATTTAATTGTATAATAAGTCTGGATCTAGAGTAAGCCTTAGTCTACAGCTATTCTGTGTCAAAAATAAGTCACGAACCATAGTAAGTTTCGGACTAGAGTATGTCTGTAATTCGAATTATTCATATTCTTCAATTATCCCGCCAAAAAAATTATCGTCTTTTTATCATACTATAGTTTTTATCAATCTCGTTCTACTAAAAAACCTTTATATTGGTGATTTCTTTGTTAAACCCGTATTTTTTCATGTGAATCTTATTGTATAAACTCTAAAAGTTCAATTTCCGGTCGAAAAAAACTTGAAAACAATTTGTATTCGACGAGTTAAAGAGCTCTATTTATTCTAAATTTTCCAAAAAAAAATTAGATTTCGTTTTTTCGCTTCAAAAAATGTTGTTTTAAGTTTTAAAATTTGTAATTCAAAAATTTTTTGGAAAGATTTACGATTTTTTAATACTGCGAATGAGTTTTATTTTACATACTCTATTGATAAATCATATTTTTGTCGAGATATAACTTTTTTTTAAAAAAATTATATGCAAAGAGTGTTATAGAATTCTAGAAGGTATAGTGCATAATTTGAAGTATACTATCAAATAAAGAAATTTTACAGTTTTTTAGTTTTATTTAGATGTACGTTATTTTAGATGGCTTCGTCGAAAACAAAGCCTGTCTGTTAAGTTTATTCTTAACATGGTAAATAAAATGGCAACGAAGCCCAGTGTACTGCGTCTTATGCCGTAGTTTTTGTTATCTTCATACTCAAATACAACAAATACAAATAGATTTATTACGAAAAAACGTATAAAACAAATGATATATTTATTTCTAGACAAGTTGACGAACATGTAGCGCAACTGTATCGCTTTAGAGAACAGTTCTTCCAACACCTACTCATTCAGTGAAAGACTGATTCACATTGTTGCTGGTAAGTCTGATTGCTTCAGATAGAGAGCATGAATTGCTTCTTTATCATCTAATCCCCATCCCCCTTGTTCCCGATTGGATGACATGGACAATTCATCTTTCTCTAACGAAACAAAATGATACTTTTTTGGCGGCTTATTGACTCAGAAAAATTTGAGAGTTAACGAATAATTTTGGCGCCAAAAATAATTTCTCTTAATTTATTAAATTTAATATACGCACATCCATAAGTTATGCTATTTTTTCTATTTATTTTGTTCTAAAATTCTAAATATTTTTTTTCATAACATAAAATATGATGTCTAGTCTCATTTACATAACAACATGCCTTAGAATAGGTTTTTTATTCTTTTTGGCACTTTAAATTAAGAATAAAAAGATAATTTAAATTGAATATTTGCGATTATTCTCACTAATGCTGCTTCCTCTTTTATTAGGTAGACAACAAAAAGTTAGCCTTGGACTCCCATATCAGATTTTTGATTGGTTGCGTATATAATGAGCTGGGATTGATAGACGAAAACCCAGTGAGAAAATTTTTGACGCCACTTTTTGATATTTTAAGCAGATCGACGATTTTAGTTGTTAACTTGCAATTTATAATAGGAATGTTATTCTTCCAATAAAAACAGAATAAAATGTAATAAACAGAAATTCATCAAAAGTGACAGCTCTCAATTTTTTGACATTTGTAAATTCTAAATTTAATGAGAAAAATGAAATAATACTAAGCATAATACAATATTCTAGATTTAATTATAATTAGGAAAAAGTTAGTTTTGAGAGTACTTTTCATAGGCATATAGAATGAAATCTTCTGAAAAATAATATCACATAAACTCATATTATTTTCTAATATATAACTATTTTATATAAAAATCAAATTCAATGATCTTAAAAGCGAAGGATAAACCTCAAAATTTACGAATATAATGAGTGGGAATATAATGCTTATCTATCATAAAACCATATGAAATATCAATTTTTGCTTTACGCCTAATTTTTGACGACAATTAGCAAAAAATGTTAAATGTTAACACTCAGTCCATTTGAATATGAAAAATAAAATTGACTTTGATTAAATGTTTTTATTTATCATGCAATTCTTCTTGGGACCAAAGATTTGAATAAAAGTTCAAAAAATAAGATAGCTTAAAAAATAATATACGGTAGTGTTTACTAATAGATGAATAGTATATAAATTCTATTAAAATGGATTTGATCCAAAAAAATATATAAAATTTGATCATAAATAAAATCGTTTTAAATTACTTCTTCATTTAACGGTGCCCTATAACGATAATGTAAACATCACAAAATTAACCTTATTAGAACTCGAATGAATGGATTATCCCGATTCTAGTTCTCAATATAATAGCCTTAAAAGTGCTTTTCTGAGGGTGGTTTATCGTCTATAGGGCACCCTTAAATTATAACAATTATTTTTGGTTTTATATTTTTTTGGATCAAATCCATTTTAATAGAATTTATATACTATTCATCTATTAGTAAACACTACCGTATATTATTTTTTAAGCTATCTTATTTTTTGAACTTTTATTCAAATCTTTGGTCCCAAGAAGAATTGCATGATAAATAAAAACATTTAATCAAAGTCAATTTTATTTTTCATATTCAAATGGACTGAGTGTTAACATTTAACATTTTTTGCTAATTGTCGTCAAAAATTAGGCGTAAAGCAAAAATTGATATTTCATATGGTTTTATGATAGATAAGCATTATATTCCCACTCATTATATTCGTAAATTTTGAGGTTTATCCTTCGCTTTTAAGATCATTGAATTTGATTTTTATATAAAATAGTTATATATTAGAAAATAATATGAGTTTATGTGATATTATTTTTCAGAAGATTTTGTGTTCTTCTTCAAAATTTTATTTTTTTTATTAAAAAGAATCTTTACAAAATATACATTTACTTTAATTAATATTTAAAAACGTGCTCTATCAAAAGTTCCAAAAATTCAATATTTTAGCTTTTCTGAGGTGTCACTTTTGATGAATTTCTGTTTACAACAAAAATCTTAGCCTCTGAAGTTGAAAAAAAATTGAATTTGAATTTGAGCAGAAATTTCGGATGGTGAAAATTATATACAAATCATGTTATCTAATGTGTTTATAAAAGTACCGAAATCTTAATAAAAAGTGACATTTTTTGATCTCTTATTCTCTTGCCAATAGTCCTATCATGATAATATGAATTTATTTTTCGATGAATAAAAGAAATAAAGCAATACTCGTAAAATTGATTTGATTGATTAGCTCAAATTACTTTAAATCTAGTTAAAATCTTATACAATCACGATGGATAGTTTAATATTGCTTGGCGCAATCCCAACTACGTATATTTTTCAATATTTTTTTAAAAATTGTTGAAATACGCGAGCATTGATTTGATTATCATTACTATATGGTTATTGTTATAATGGCGGACACAAAATCAGGCCCAATTATTGTTGACGAAAAATGGCGTAAGATCGATCTATTGAAAATATTAGACTTTTCGCGATAAAAATTATTTGATAGTCTGTGCGCATCCTAATGAATATAAAATTTTAATAAAAGGAGAGATGTCAAATAAATTGACATAAAAACAAAGATTCAATGAAAAACACCCTCGATTGTACAGTATCAGTCGCGGGTAGTCCACAGGAATATCGAATAGAAATTCCCAAATCATTGAATGTGGGAGAAATCCTGAACTATTTAGAGCACAGCCAAAAGCTACAATTTGAAAAAGATTCATTCATTCTTGTTCAGCGTGGTCCCGTTGATTTTGTAATCGCAAGTGATAAGAAATGCTTAACAGATATCATTAACACAACTGTTTTCAGATTTTATGTTTATCCTCCTCAAATTAAATTCTTAAAAGTCCACTGTCCTGATAAGAGAATTAACATACGTTCCTTTGATGCTAAAGAGCCGGCATCATCAATGGTTGAAATTCTTTGTAACGAAATTTTTCATCTTAAAAATTCTGAAGCTTATGCTCTTTATCAAATAAATAACTCAAGGGGCGAAGCATTTGCTCCAAATAGATGCATTATCGAATTTTTACCATTCATCAAAGATATTTATTTATTACGACGTTTTTGGTTTTCTTCATGCATGAATTTAGAGGATGAAAATGATATTCACTTCAACTACGCTCAAGCCAAGCAAGAGTTCTTCCAGCCAAACTTTTCATTCAAATTTGTCGATTATATTACTTTAACTGCCCTTAGTATTTTAGTTGAGTTTAACGGTAAGAAAGAAGAAGCGCAGCAATTTATTACGAAATGCTCATCAAGTGAGCTCAAGAAATACCTTCCACCCTATTTAGTTAAAGAAAAGAAAATCAACAAACAATTAGCAGCAGTTTTCCCTAACATTCCTTCCGGAGTTGTCGAAGCTAAGCATACATTCATCGAAAAAGCAATTATGTGGATTTATTTCAGCGCAACAATATATCCATGCAATTTTTCATATGAAGGACGTGATTATAACGGTTACATTGCATTCATTGAAAAGGAAATCCGCTTTTTGGAAGATTTAACTGATTACAACGTTATTTTTTCAATCCGATACAAATTACTTCGTAAATTCAAGCTTCTTGAAGAAGGATCAATCAGTTTTACCATTTTTAAAGACGTAAAGAGTGAAGAAGTCTGCATCTTTTCAATTTCTTCCCCAAGAGCAATTCAAATTCACGATTACATCGTCATTTTCCTTAACCACTTGAAGCAAATCGAGTTTAAGAGACGTGAAGCAGAAGAATCCAATAAAGGCAAGCGCAGAGAGCGAAGAAATACACACAGAACAAATACGACATCTCTTGAAGGTTTAGTTGATGATTCCGTCAGTCCTCTCGAGTTCAAATCGACCAGGGGTGAAGGCTTTGCCAACAAATTCGCCATTACTCTTCCAAAAATCGATTTTGTCAAACCTCAGATTCAATCCACTTTTTCAATTCCTCGCTGCACGTTATCTCCTATTTCCATGAACGACGGCTCAGAGTACGCGACGTACGACACCTTCGACGGCGGACTTCTCAATGGAAAACGTAGAAGAAAAGGAAGAATTGATCCAATAATTACGGGCGTGGCAGATATTGGCATTTCCAAGCAAATCTGTCATTTATTGAAGCGAACAATTTCGAGGGATTGTTTAGCACCTCTTTCCGAAGCAGATGATCTGATTGTACAATTAAACGGATCCCAAATTTCCTCCCAATTAATTCATGGCTGCAATGGATCATTCCAACACCAAGTTGCAACGATATCGAGAGTTTGTTCGATACTTGCGAGCGAAACATTGTTACCTTTCGATGCTTTGTCGTGTCTCAATTACGTCCGTTCTTACACACAAAGGTTTTTAACCCAAGAATGGCAGGATTTCGATTTCCTCGGAAACGCGCAGTTAATTGATCCTGTTTTCGCCTCCGTCGCATCGAACATCTACAAGAGGAGAGACACGATGACTCCCAACTTGGCATACGTGATGCTCGGCGCTTACGAAGGCGATAAAGCTGAAGAATTACACGCATTGAGTGATGCAGTAATGACAGCTTTACAAAATTCTGTTGTTGCATTGGCAAGATGTTTTATCGCTTGCGGAATGGGCGACAGGAGTCTTCTTGAAGCAATTGAGAAACACAGGACAGCATGTTTCGATCCATTGTTCACTTCTCAATTGACTAATTTGCTTCAACCATTAGTTTCTGAAATTGATTCTTTCGATGTTTCGAAGAAATTCTTTTCTCAAGAACATCGAGCGAAAGTTGATACAAAACTTGTGAAAGACATTCTTGAAGTGATGAATCATTTCACTTCTTTCTTGTCATCACCAGCCTCTTTGTATCTTCTTTCACACAGCAGAAGATGCTTCAAACCAATCGAATACCCTGACTCGATGATTGAAGCAACTTCTTTGTACCAAGGAGCAATGGAATCTTCTTTCGCTTATTACGGAGCTGATGCAAAAAGAAACGTTGAATTGGCTTTGAGAATAAGTACAACAGCAAGAACATTCTTCGATCTATATTGCGATAACCAACAGATAAACGCGCAATCATCATTAGAATCGTTGAATGTCTTGTTGAAGAGAGGATTCGCAGGAGATGACATCAAATTGGAGAATTTCTTGGATTCATCGGATCCTCTTCATGAAGTTGTTCTTAACTTGTTGAGGAACAATAACTTGGAAGAGGCAATACCACTCTTAGCAAATGACTTGACAAATGAATCCAAGAAATTCGAAATCTTTGAAACAGCTGCTGCAAAAATTGACGACCAAATGAGATTAATGGTCACTTCACCTGAAAAAATTGATGTTGGCATATTGAAGACTGCTTTCACTTTGTTGTCGTTTGGAGCAATCCTTTGTACAAGGGATACTACATACACTAAAGAGGTCAAAGAGAAATTAGTAAGTGTTGGCCAGGCAATTAGGGAAATTGTTAAGGCACCAAGCGATCAAAGGGTTCAATATGAAAACCCTGTAAGAAGTGATATTAGAGCTCTCCAATTTTATGTGAATGAGCCTCATCTTGTTGAAGAAAACGCTTTGGCAATTGCAAAAGGCGCAATTTCATTCTCGTTTGAAAAACCAGAGATATCCACAGAGATCAATGCTTTGAAGAACTTATGTATGGATTTGCAGAGATTTAATATTGCAAAAAACCCTGCGAAAACTTGAATCTTAAAATTTTTTTATACTTATATTTGAAATGTTATATATTGCTTTTTAATAATTCTAATATGATATGAGATATATTTATTGATAGCGAGTCAAAAAAAAAATCCTGTCTGAAATGTGTATTGATTTGACTTACAGTGCTACTCGTTTTCAATTCAAGTTTTACAGAATAATTTATGAATAATGATATGTAATCTTATTTTATATCCTTATTTAAAAATTTTTCTGATTTTCAATACTCTCAAAATGGGTTTGATTTTAATTGTTGTTTTTGGATATTTTGTTGGTAATCAATATTACAAAAGAAGATGAATAAATAATTGATGTTTTTCAATGCTATTCAATTATTATGAGCACCTTTAATTAATTTTAATTGGCGTTAAAATGAATATTTCCTTAATCATCAATAAAAGCTTAATACGATTTTTTCTGACTCATTATTTCCGAAATCAGAATTGAAAGAGATAACCGCTGTTTGCTTGGCCGACTATATAACCATCATCACAATTATGGAGGCGCCTTCCGATATGTCTATTGTCGAATGGGAAAAATTATCCTTAAGCGACAGAGAAGGATACCTCCGCATGAGAGATATGCTTACATCTCCAGCATGCAAGAATCGCCGTAACAAGAGTGCAGAAACGTTTGTCGATGTTGTCGAAACAATCAAGGCATTCGTAATGCGTGGCGATTCCGGAGACCTCCAAAGAGGTATTGTATGCGGAATGTATTGGGTTGGTGAAGATCTTGCAATCAACACTCGTCAACTCAGAATTTTACTCCAAAAGTGCAAGTCTTCCATCAATGGTTCACTTCAAATGATTGGATATGCATCACCTGTTGCTTCAACAGACACATCATCCGTTTTAATTAATCTTTTCCCATTTTGGAAAGATAATTTCAAAGAATTGCGCCAATGGACAATTAGAAGGAAAGCTCAGACACCACATACTCATGTCCTTCCAAAGAATTTCGTTCCAAGGGTTCTCATTAACCCAACAATGGAAAAATTAATCCAAAATTCTGCCGCACCTGATTTTCCAACCCCACCACCAGATGCAAAAAACGAGCAAGAATCCAACCACGTAATTGAAATTTCAGTTGCGGATCCGGTCAATCTCGAACCACCAACATTCCAAGAATTTGATATTAAAGACCATATGGATTTAGATACCGGTATCAAATTTGAAGATGATTCCTTCGGGATGTGGAACAATTTTGATATTGATTTTGATTTATAAATAAATTGTTATTATGTTTATGTTAATTGCCTTATAATCTTTTAGAAAATGTATGTTTATGACAGATCGATCATTTTGAAAAATAACGTTTAGATATAATTTGGAGTTTAACCTTCTATCTTTATCGAAACAACTTTAAACCATCCTTAATATAAAAATACACGTAACATATCTGAATACGCCCATACAAAATTATAGTCGTTTTTAAATCACCGGAAACATCGATAAATATTTAATTAATCATAGCATATTCCTGCTAAAAAGAAACAATTTGAGTTGAGTTTCATTATAAAAAGGTTTTTTAACAAATTTTATTAATAAAAATAAACAAAAAAATAAAATTAATAGTTCCTAGCAAGAGATCCTGATAAAGGACGTATTGAGTATTGCTTTGTAAGCTCTTCGACAATCTTTTTCACTGGAGGTTGTTTAATAATTGGAAGATCGAACGTCCATTCCAATTCTTTAGCTTTAATGATTCTCTTTCTCTTATTCTTTGGAATATTAATAACACCATCATCTGAATCCAACTTACTTTCATCAATTTTACTCAAATCAGCCTTATGATGTGGAGGTTTTTCAGGATTTACTGGATCATACTTCGGATCTTTATATTCTACAACTTGTGGCTTGAATGCGACAGAGATTGATTCATCCTCACTTTCAGCTGGTGGTAATTCTGGAGTTAAGAAAGAGAAAGGATTGAAATCTTCGTATTGAACTTTTGGTTCTTTTCTTGTTTTTCTTGCTGGAGACAATTCCTTTTCTGGAAGGAATGACAATGGTGTTGTGTGATGTCTTCTTAGTATTGTCGGTCTTGGTGGTGTTGAATAAGCAGTTTTGATCATTGAAGGACTACTTGTACTGCTTTCTTTCTTCGGAATTTGTATTTTACTGTCTGAATCTTCTGGAGCAGTAGATACTTCTTTTCTCTTCATCACTGATGTTTCCTCACTATCAGAAGAAGATGACGAAGATGATGATGATTTCTTATGTTTCTTACTCTTAGGTTTCTTTTCTTGTTCTCTTTCTTGTCTCTCTTTTTCTTCCCTTTCTTTCTTTTCTCTCTCCTCTTTTTCTTTTCTTTCTCTTTCTTCCTTTTCTCTCTTTAGCTTTTCTTCTTGCTCTCTCTTTTCTCTTTCTTCTCTTTCTTTCTTTTCTTTTTCTTCTTGTTCGAGTTTGAGTTTAAGTTCTTGTTCTTCTTTGGCTTTCTTCATGTTCTTTAGGCCATCACTCCAAGAGCTATCATCTGATGATAGTTTGGATCTCATTCTTGGTGGAATAGAAGATGATGTATCTGAGTCAGAATCAGAGTTATTTGCTGGTTTCTTATTTGGAGGTGGAGTTGAAGAACTTGAACTTGTTTGCTCAGAAGATTCAGAGTCAGAGTCAGATTCAGAATGAACATATGAAGTAGATGATTCTTGTTCATCTGAATAATCCTTTGTAGATGGAGATCGCTGCGGAGAAGAGGAAGATTCCTGTTTTCTTGCAGATTGTTTTTTAGATGGTGGAGGAGTACTTGATAAGGAGTCAGAACTTACTATTGATGATGGTCTGTATGGTTTCAGCTTGGGAGATCTTTCTGGAATCTCATCTGAAGAAGAATCAGAACTTGGAGGTGGTAATCTTTGAGGTTTGAATGGAGGAGGGGCTTGTCTTTCAGATTCACTACTAGATGAGCTATACGGTTCGTCGCTTGAGCTCTGAAGAATTCTTGATCCTTTCTTCTTTTGAGGAAAACTTTCTGAATCTGATGAATCTGAAAGAGTAGGTAGTTTGGATGGCTGTGGTTTTTGTTTAGGTAAAACAGGTTCGCTATCATCTGAAGAACTTGAAAATTGGATTGTCCGTTTTTTGCTATTTGATGGTTTATTTTGTGATTTTGATGATTTAGATTCAAAATCACTGCTATCTTGCTTATTTGTTGATCGTTTGCCTGAGTTTTTAGGTTTTCTTAAACTTGATTCATCAGATGATGAAGAACTGTCTGATGAGCTTAATCGTCTTATTGGTTTCCTGTTTATATTATCATTTTCATCGGAAGAACTGGAATCTGTGAATAAAGGCTTGCGTCTAGACATAATTGTAATTGAGAGTGAAAAGTGACAGATTTTTGATTTGAATTCAAAAATTGCAGAAGCGACGTGATAAAATGATGTTTTAGTAAGCTCATTCATGGTTGTGGGAGATAAGAATTGCATACGCCATGTGTTATAATTTTGTTGTTGTTTATTGTTGATTGGTTCTGAAGCTTTGTAGGTATACTTCTTTACATATTAGCTAATATTCTTGAAGGTCTCTTCACATGTTATCTCCAGACAGGAACAATCTAATTTTTTGATTGTGATATACTTTAAATTTATCAATATAGCAAATTATATGAGCAGCATTATAGCCATGATGATTTGGATTGAAATTCTACATATGATGAAACATTCGCTGTTAAATACAATGCTTGAATTATAATATTGTATCCTTGCAGATTGGACTTTAACTTTGAATATTCTGCTAGTAAGGCTTTTTGATTATGCATACGAGATAAGTCTATTTTTGAGAATTTCTAATACAATATTGAAAACAATATCAAAATGCCACAATCTTTTGAGATTGGTGATTTTTAACCTCAGAAATTCTAATGCCAAAACTTAAATATCCTTTGTAATCAAAACTTTTCCTTCTTTTCCAAAAATGGAAACTGAAGATTTTGATAGCGAACAACTAAATGAATCGTCCATTAATGATGAGTCAGATGAAGTTAGATATGTGCCATTCTATTCTAGTCCTGGAAACTCTGATAATGAAGAAAAAATTCTCCAAAATGATTTTTCGGATGAATCAATAGATGATGAACCCATACTCAATATTAAAATTCAACCAAAGCCTATTTTAAAGAACTCTAAGGTTGCATTTCAAAAATCTATCACTTCAAAACCAAAAATTCCGGAAGTAGATTCACAAATTTCATTAATTACAAACTCTAAACTCTTAGATTCACAAGAAGTTCCAGTTAAATGGCTTTCTTTCTATAATGAAGTACAAAATGCTAAAATGCAAGCTTTATCTTACCTTGATCCAGAAGAAAAAGTTAATTTCATGAAGAAAAACCATATAGAATTCAATAACTATGTGCCAAAGCGCAATTCTAATTCGATTAGCAGCATTAGAACATCGAAATTATCTGAAAACCGCAAAACGCCTCTCAAGGGCATAATTCCAAATAATTCAAACTCATCCCTTAATCAAGATGATAATGATCTTGATAGTAGCGGTCTTATTGAAAGTCTTTACAATAATTTACGAAATTTAGATAATAGCGGAAGTGATGATGACAAAGGATTCAAAATTATGCTTTCTGATTAACTACTGATTGTTATACTCCTTATATATCTGTTCAAATCTATATTTTTGTTAATAAATATTTGTTTTTTATTCCACAAACTGAGTATTTTATACGCTATTTTCAAGAACGCATCTATGTGAGAGCGAATAGGAGTTCTCAAGATTTGATCAATTTTTCGATCAATAAAAGTGTCAATCTCCGAGAGTAAAAGTGACAAATAAAAGCAATAACTGACACTTTTTGTAAAGATTCGCTTTTTAAAATTCTCTCAGATATTTTTTTTTAGAATTTAATGTCTAATATCCTTAACACCCTCCAAAGCCGAATTCCAAAAGTTTTGGAGCTTGGAAAGGAAGTAACTCAAAAAGATGAATTCGCAAAAGGAGAAAGAGCCACGTTTTATCACGGAACTCGAATGAAAGACGGATCGACAGTAGCAATTAAAAGAATATATGATAATAAACCAAGCAAAGATGAAATTAAAACATACGCTATGGAAATTCAAGCAATTTTTGCCACATCAACACCATATTCAACTTCGTTAATAGGATATTCAGTAACAGCGCCTTTCATTATCGTTACAGAATGCTATGAAGAAGCAAATTTATCTACTCTTTTAAAGCAAAAGAAATTAGATTTCACTCAATTAAACAGTATTTTGTTAGAGTTAGCTTTTGCATTAAAGCAAATACATGAAGTGAACTTTATTCACGGAAATGTATGTCCAAGCAATATTATTTTGGATAAATACGGTAAAACAAAACTAGTTGGCTTTGGAAACAGCCGTTACCCTTCAAAATCACCAAAGAATGTCTACACCAGTGGTAAGATTAAAGAAAATAACTGGCTTTCACCAGAATTCTTAGCAGGAGAAGTTTTTACAGAAAAACATGATGTTTTCAGCTTCGGCTCGTTAGTTTATCAATTCCTAACGGGCGAAATTCCATTTAACGGTCAAAGTCAAAGCGAAGTTAGGAGCAACATTGTTAATTACAAGCTTCCAACAATTCCTCAGCAATTATCAAAATTAATCACAGATTGCTGGGACAAACCAGACAAAAGACCATCTATAGCGAAAATCCTTGAGAGTCTACGCTCGAAAGAAATAGTTTTTCCCGATGTAAATAATACAAAATTAGATGTGACCATTCAAACATTACTTGCAGACGAAGAAGAGATGTTTACTCAGAAGTACAAAGGTTTGGTTCATACAGATGCCGCTCATTTCAAAGACGAACTGAAGAATGTGATTCCAGAACCAAAATCTCCATATGTTCCCATCTTTTTCAGGGAAATCAAGAAGCTTTTCGTGAAGAAGACCTCATCAGAGATATTTTCATACCTTTTGGATGCTTGCCAGGCCTTAATTTCAAAAACTAAAAATGCAGAATCGTTTTGTTCCAATCATTTACACCTCAGACTGCCTCTAGATCGTGATGAATTGATAGATCAAGGCCTTGACATCATCTACGCCATAGTTATCAACTATCCGAACGCATTAAATTCCGAATTTTCTCCTTTCATCAAATATTTAATGAGAAAGAAACCGGAGAAAGTCATTATTATTGCTTCGGAACTTGCCAAAAAGGTTGATGAAGTGGATGACCCACTCCTAGTTCTCGATGCCGTTATGACGTCCTGGAAATATGTCAAAGATTCAAAATCTTTGGCCGCTCCATTTTTGTCACTTTTTTACTTTTTATGTAAAAAAGTTCCTGATTACAAGAACCAGCGTGGCCAGCTTTGTTCATCATTATTCAACAAATTCCTTGATTCCAAATCGAAGACCGCTGTTTGTGTTGCTTTAACAGGTCTTCAATTTGTTGAAGCAGAGAATTTATCGATAAATCCAGAGCAAGCATTGGATTTACTGAAAGATGGAAAGACTGCTCCGACAATACTCTCTTTGATGCTTTCTTTAGATACAATAGACATCAATGATGAAGATGTTTTTCAAGACATAATTGATGTTTTATTGAAAAGAAGTCAAAAATCAAACAGAGCTTCTTTGTTGCTTTGTAAAATCGCTTCTGAAAAGAATGGTGCTGAATTACTGATGAAAGATGATTCATGGTTATGTAACAAACTGCCAACAGTTGAATCCACATTCAGAATAGCTTTGGTTGCAATGAGACATCCAAATATAATGAATCAACTCAAAGACAGTGAAAATTTCAAGTATTTATTATATAAATGCTGCAAACCAAAGCACCAAGTACCTCTTAGATCAATAATTGAAGTGATGAAGGCATTCGGAATCAAGTCTGATAAGGATGTATCTGTATGGGAAGATTGTGGAGTCTTGAGAATGTTGTTAAATGGAGCTGTTTCTTCTGGTGAAGAAAAAAGTTTGTGTCACATTTTGACATTTTTCTCGGATTTGGCTTTCTTGAAAGAGATGCCGATGTTGGTGGATTTGGTAGATGTATCAGTACTATCATACAAGAAGTTTAATAACGTTGCTTCGCATGTTATTCCACTTTTCGCGAACATTTCGAGAATTCCGAAATGTGGAAAAAGAATTGAAGAAACTAGAGCGTTGGAAGTGCTCAACCAAGAGTTTAAGAAGAAGGAATTTGCAAAATTTGGAACAATTATTAGAAAGAATATTAGATCTTCTCATTTACCAAGATCAACGCATTGATTTTAAAGAAATAAATAATGTTTGTTTTATAAATTAGATTTCTGTTTCATATAAGTCCTCATAACTTCTTCTTATTCAATAAAATTAGAAATCCATCGAAAATTAAAGAAAATGATTTGATTATGTAATTAAAATTATGTAAGATTTCATATTTGTAGTTGATGATATATCCTATTATGAAAATGCAATTGCAAATTTTTATTGTCGTTAATTATGTTATGAATTTGGGATTTTGGTTATGTCTTCTGATAAAATAAATAGATTTTAGCTAATGGATCTTTTGAAAAATGAAAAATTCCAAAATAATTTTTAAAAAATGTTGGTTTTAATTTATAAGTAATAATAAATGTTTAACTTTATTTCGAAATGATAAGAAATATACCACTAATTGTTCCTATCAATCAAATATCTCACAAATAATAATAATAGAAAACAGTGATGAACAATAAGGATATTCCTAATGATCGATTGTAATAACTATAGTTAAGGAAATAGGATCTGAATGCGTAAATCATTGCAGTGAATAATAATAATGTTGCATTAAACTCCTTATTGGTATCAGTGATTCCATTTGTCATCAGCAACGTAATTACTATAGCCGCTATTATAAATACGGTATCTACTCGTTTAATTCGTGGCCTCAATAATTTTGAAAGGGAAACCTTTCCTTTCATGATTATACCATGTTCGTGTCCATTGTATGTGAATGAATGTAAGGTCGTATTGTGAATTTGGGCAAGAATTGAAATTTCTTTTGGTCTGAAAGTAATGAATTGTAATCTTTCGTCGCCATGTGAACAGTATCTGAAGAGATCAGCGTATTCGTCTTTTGGTCGACTGTCTTCAGAAAAAGCAATCTTGATCAAGTAAATGATAATATTTAATGCTAAAGTCACCAAGGGATCATTTGTTTGAATATAACTATCGAAATAGCTATCTCTTCTGTGTGATCTGAAACTTCCTCCTTTGAGATAACTAATTACATCGTAATTTTTAGCTTTGTAGAACCATTGTTGACCAATGTAAGTGAAATCATTTTCATCGGCGATGCGTCTTGATTCACCATTTGTTGGAATGTAACTTTCTAGTGAACCAGAATAAGTTTTGAAAATTAAATTTTGAGATACTAAATAATTGCCTGCTTTAAAAGGTGTTACGTATGTGTATTTATCAACTATATCCCATCTGGATTCTTCTATATTAATGTTTTTGTTACATCGCATGTGAGAATGTTGAATTAAACTTGATTCAATGGATAAATTATAAGTTTCGTCCGTGGTCTTTTTATAATTAACATAGTTTGTTACAAAAGAAACGATGTCACCATCTTTAATTTGCTTATCTGTATTTAAATTTTTAACATTTTTGATAATTGGATATCTTTTGACATACTCAACCATATTCTGGTACTCAAAGAAGAGGTACACAAGGATACCTGCTAAGAAGAGCAAATTTAACCTGCGTTGGTAGAAATATTCGTAATGAAGCCTCATTTTGGATTTTTCTATTTCAACAGTATGGGGGTTTTTAACGTGGATTTTGTTTTAGCGTGGAACCGTTTTTTGACCGTAGAGGTCGAAGGTTCAAATCCAGATTTTCAATTTTTTTCCAAGTTGCATCTCAATGAAAATCCACGCTAAAACAGTCTAGCGTTATCTGCAAGTCCTACGAACAGGATCTCGGCGGATATAATATCAAATACATGTATGGATGCATATATATGAAATACTAATAAAATCGATGTTTATTAAAAAATATTATAATTTATTTCTTCTAAAGTTTTTATTTTATAGATTAATACATAATATCAATCTATATTGTATATCATTTTATCATTCAAAAGGAATAATAATATCAAATTAAAATTAGATCATTGTTTTTCTGAGCAAGAATGTCAAACATTGAAAATAATGTTTATTTATTTCAATTATAAAATAATTATACGATAAATATTCCCATTTATGCATTCTATTTTCTGCATTTAAGAAGATCATAATAAATTTAACTAGGATTCAAAATTGTGTATAATATAGTTATATCAACCTTCTTCCATGGCGATACCTACAACTCTCTTTTATATAATCCAAACTATTATATGTAATCTTGGGAAAGTGTATTAACTTTTGAGATATTGTGATGAAATATTTATATATTTCAATCATAATCAGGTATGACATGATATTTGTCATATAAATATCTATGAAAATTTACTTTAATATGTTTCTAGATGCATCTCAATGAAAATCCACGCTAAAACAGTCTAGCGTTATCTGCAAGTCCTACGAACAGGATCTCGGCGGATATAATATCACATGCATGTGTAGATATATATTTAAGCAAATTTAACATAACTCACTATGTATCAATTATAAAAATATATTATCAATCATAAAAATACTATATTACCTAATTTATCATATCGTTTATTAACATTGACATTATATATCAATATTTTGATATAATATCATTTTAATCAAAAAAATAAATTTAAATACATTGTCAGCTAAGACTTTTGATTGAAGAAATAATAAATACATTATTATGTAAAAATTGATATTATAATAAAATAAGAAGTTTGATGAAAAATTTAATCATAATTTTTATTAAACATCAATTTTATTAGTATTTCATATATATGCATCCATACATGTATTTGATATTATATCCGCCGAGATCCTGTTCGTAGGACTTGCAGATAACGCTAGACTGTTTTAGCGTGGATTTTCATTGAGATGCATCTAGAAACATATTAAAGTAAATTTTCATAGATATTTATATGACAAATATCATGTCATACCTGATTATGATTGAAATATATAAATATTTCATCACAATATCTCAAAAGTTAATACATTATAATAAGATTCTTTGTAATAGTCTGCAATTTACATGAAAAAGTGTGTGAATCACAAATACTCAGAACTTGTATAGATTTATTACACTAAACTATTAATGTTAGTCAAATATGTTGTGATCTTCTTAAATGCAGAAAATAGAATGCATAAATGGGAATATTTATCGTATAATTATTTTATAATTGAAATAAATAAACATTATTTTCAATGTTTGACATTCTTGCTCAGAAAAACAATGATCTAATTTTAATTTGATATTATTATTCCTTTTGAATGATAAAATGATATACAATATAGATTGATATTATGTATTAATCTATAAAATAAAAACTTTAGAAGAAATAAATTATAATATTTTTTAATAAACATCGATTTTATTAGTATTTCATATATATGCATCCATACATGTATTTGATATTATATCCGCCGAGATCCTGTTCGTAGGACTTGCAGATAACGCTAGACTGTTTTAGCGTGGATTTTCATTGAGATGCATCTAGAAACATATTAAAGTAAATTTTCATAGATATTTATATGACAAATATAGTTTAATTCTTAAGTTTAATTTTGTTTAATAATTGTTTCATTAAATATCCTATTGATGTTAAATTATTTTTCAGATTTTCTTCATTACCATTAATTGTCGATAAAACAGTTTAGATTTTCTTGATAATCATCATATAATGCATCATGCATCCATTAAAAGCAACAGAATCTATATATTTCAAAATGATTCATTTTTCAAATGCCAAAAATATAATTTTAAATCAAGATAGTATAATACTAATTGTGTTTATGAAAAAATATTTGTTTGACTATACATTGCTATTCGGGATTCATGGTTCTTGGATTGAATAATATATATAATTTTTAATTGTATCTTTATTATACAGGAGAGTGTTGCCGACAATTAAATTTTGTTTATAAATTAAAAGATAGTCCTATATTAGATTTAGCTGGATGTTTGTAAGTATTCGATTTCAAATAAAATATATATGCATCTAGGAATTAAATCACAGCAGATATAATATTATGTACATGCATAGATATACAGGTTTGATATGATAGTGCTTACAATGCTTATTGTAGTATGGTATAAATTTAATCTTTCAAAATTCTGATGTTTTAGATGAAAATAGATTCAAGTAATATAGTTCTTGTTAACCCTTTTATTAAAATACAAAAACATAATAATCAAAAAATTAATTTCAAATAAATCAAGTGTAATCTTTAATAGAAACTATGCATTTAATATCGTCATCTATATCTTGATTGAAGTGCCATAGAAATATCTCAATAAATTATAAGTATAAGCCTAATTCATAAGAATTATCTAAAAATTATTGTGTTAGAACAAGGTAATTGTTTAAAATATGTTTATGTATAACAGCGATATAATAAAATCAATTTGTAATAGAATGCAAGCATTTGGATAAATAATTTTTCTAGCTTCGATTTTGAAGAGATGATATTGGGATTATGATAGAATATTTATTTTAATGCGTTCTAACCCCAGAATTGTCTCAGAACTGCCAAATTTTAAAAATATTCATATTTATAACATAAGTTTTAACCTTCGATCTTGATTGGTTATAATGGCTAGTACTATAGGATTATGTATGAACTTGCTTTTTCTGCATAGAATCTTAGGAGCAGCTGATAAAGCTTTTTCCACGCTAAAACTTTTTTCCACGTTAAAAACCCCCATACTGTTTCAATTGCCTTATTCAAAATTAAAAGCGTTTATATCTGAAGGAATGGAACAATGTATTTATTGTTTTTTGTCAAAAATTTTGCGATGATCGAGGTGTAATCTAAATTATCTTGACTTGAAATATAGTTATGAAGCCCTATGAACAGAAACCTTGTATTTTCCTATGTTTGTTGTTCAAAATCATTTTGATTTAATGAGTCATCTCAAGTTATTTAGTCCAAATTCAATAAATTTATTGCACAATGGTAAAGATCTATCATGTATCTATTGAAAATGATATTTATATTAGTTTTAATGTTTAATCTAACATAGAAACTTCATATTTAGAATGAGGAAAAATAAAAATTTTTCATAGAGTGAGGTAAGCAAAGTTTATAGTAATGTATTTAACAAACGTAAGTATATATATAAGAATTGGATAGTTGAAAACATAATATTCGAATATGAATATAAATAATAAAATTCAAACAGAGGCTGCATATGATTTGAGGATCTCATCAACAAGTTTTCTGAGTCCAAGATGTGTTTCTGGCTTCATAGAGTTCAAATCGGTATCAACAACGCCATCTTGAACTAATTCAGGTTCTTGAATACTTATATAGTCAATGAGGCGCTGAATACCATCAGCATCTTCTCTATTTGTAATTTCTTTAATGTCCGAAGCTAGTTTGTCTTTCTCATCCTGATTCAATGTATCAACATTTGATTCTTGAGCTGGAGGAGGCGGTGGTGGAGGTGGGGCTGGTTCCTCCTTAACTTCTTCTATAACAGTAACAACTTCGGCAACAACAGGAGGCTGTTCAGGCTCAACTTTTCTCTTTGCCGGTCTTCCTCTTGGTTTTGGAGGATGTGCAGGTGGAGCAGCAGGAGCAGGAGCTGGCGCTTCGGCAGGTGTTGAGTGCTGGCGTGATGGTTTAGCTGCAACTGCTTTCTTTTCGAAGTTAACTTTAGTTGCTGCGTTTCTTGCTTTAATTTCTGTGCATTTTTTATGCCAATCTGTATAATCATCGCCGGAAAGCCAATCGGTATTTTCTTTGAAAACTTTTTCGAGCTGTTTCGCTAAAAAAAAAATGATTGTGTTTTGACCGTTAAATTTGATAGTGTTTTCCCATATAAGGGCAACGTCATTTTTACAGTCTTGGACTGTATTATACTCGTTATTGAGCAATTTTTTGCGGACTGTGCCAAGATCCATTGGAGTTTTAATAATTTCGAGATAATTCGGGCATCCATCTCTCTCAGGATCAACTGGAATGGCGAACATTGCTGAGATATGATACTCAGCGACTTTGTCTAGTCCTTCAAGAAGATGCTGTTTCTGATAATCAGTTAACATCACCCACTCAAACGGACAGCTTTCAAAAAACTGACAGTTTATTTAATCGTCACGTTTAATGTCGTTTACAATTTGAATTTTGTTGTTGCTGATTTACAAGATCGGGTTAGTAATTTCGCTTAGCATCACGCTTTGTTGGCATTTCATCGCTCAAAATCTGATCAAACTCAGAAAACAATTATATATTTTTGTTGATAAATTGATGTATTAGAGTGAAACAAAGGAGTGATGAACTCTAAATGGTGTTTGTATATACTTCGTGACTTCTTTTAAACCATATATGATAAAATTTGTCTTTCGATTTGGTAAATTTTGTTTTGTGCGATCGAAACTGATCAAAAGTTCTTACAAATCATCTATTTTTTGTTAACATCTTGTGGTGCAAAAACATAGCCTAATAATACTTAAGATGAGAAAAGAATAATAAAAGTTTCACCAAAGGAATGAAAATCAACTATAAAACTTTCCCATAAGTAAAATGTAAGAGAATTGTCTGAGTTGAGTTTTATGATATGAAACAAATAAGATTAAAATGATACAAACATTCATTGATGGTGTTAATCAGGTAAGAAGTTCAACAAGCATCTAAGGTCTTTTGTTTCCCTAGATTTTAGAAGTAATTTTAAGGAAAAGTCTGAAAGGTTGATTTTGATTAAGATAAAATCAAGCCAGAAGGCCTGTTCTGGATGAAAAATGATTAGTGAACGGATTTGTAGTGAAAAAAACTGCGAAGATTCGAAAAATTGAAATTGATAATGAACTGAGATGTTTTAATCTGAGACTATCTATTGTTTGAAGAAGCTACTATAGAATCTGTGAGCTACAAGTCTGAAAAAAGTGATTTGATAGACGATTTAATAAGATTTTGATGTTGAAATGCATTAAAATGATTGATTTACGATACGATTTGAATACATTCCTATAGCTTGACAAAAACTGAAAGTAAGTTTACTCCAAAAAAATTGCAAAATCGAAAAATTAAAGATGAACTCTTAGATTTTTAATGATAAATTTTTCTTTTTAAATTTTTTTTGGAATTTTTGATTATTAATTTCAATTTTCAGAACAATTTATAGAAATTATTAATAAAATTTAACGACAGTAATTATTTGTAATATGTTTTCTTTAAATTATATGTGTAAAAATAAGAAAATTATCAAATTTGAAAATCAAAATTTGCTAAATTAAAGTTTATAAACAAATGAACATAAAAACTTACATTTAAACTGAAATATAGAAATTAATATTACACTTTAAGATCTAGATTTCTTCTTATCGTATTTTCATTTTTCAGATTTACCTACTTTCGTTCTACCATCGCGATCAGTTTTAGATCCATATATTGATGTAATCGAATTTCCACTTATTTTGAGGAAAATTAAAATGATCTCAATAATATCAGAAGAACCTAGATATAACAAAAGGAATCATAATATCTCATCTGGGCTGCCAAATTTTAAAGATAAAAACTAAGTTTAAATAATAAGGTTTAAAATAACACTAAAACAAATCCAAACAATTAGAAAAAGCTTGATGCTCTACGCTCGATAGTTCTTTCGCCGTATTCCTTGACAATTGGTCTGACATCTTCTGCATCAGCACATTTTTCTAGAATCGGGAGAATCTTTGACATTAAAACGTCATCCAATGGAGTACCACTCCATCTGTCAATATAAATTGTATTTTGTGGGTAATAACTGCGCATCTGATAGTTATCATCAACCATTACCACTTTGGTTAATGGTCTTCCGAACTTATTAAGATCCTTCTTGCATTTATTTCCACTGAATTTGCACGAATCCCTGTAGAAACGGTGCATTTGGTCGATTTGTGGGCAGAAAGAATCGAGGATTCTTTCTGCATATATCTGGGTACCTGCCGTAAAGATAAATACCTCAAAGAGTTCTGAAACTCTTTCCAAAAATTTCTTTACATTTGGTCGCAAAAACACGTATTCGTTCGTATCGTCGAATTTTAAGGCTTCAACATCTGAATGGGGAGGAAATGTTGATGTGTGAACAAGAGTTTCATCTAAATCCAGAACTAATGCTTTACGTGTATCTGTAACGAAAATTCTGTGCGGAGTTGTAGGCAATGAATGGGCAATTCTATCAGTATCTATAGCATGTATATCTATTAAGTTAAAATTTGGCTCAAGAAGAGATCCAAAAGCCATGGAACCTGAAAAGGGATACATATTATTTTTTTACTTTTTTTTTCAAAAGACAATTGAATAAAAAATGCGGTTTTTCTTTTTGCGACAAAATTGTTAACTTTACAATAACTGTTGTTTATTGTATTCTCCAAGTCACTAGTAGTTAACAGCTGCTAGGAAAGTGAAATTATCCGATAGGTGATCAAAAGGTTAAATTAATTCAAATTTTGAATGTTTTGTGTTCAGAGATTTTACTTTAAATGTACTCTTCGAATTTTTTAATAAGCACATTGAATAGATCATATATTATTCGTGAAGTGAATTTTCAGAATGTTTGCGATATTTCATGATTATTAAACCAAATCAATCTGCTATGTGGAAAATGTAATATTATTGATATACATACATTTAATCCAATCCAAATGCAAATTACTTCAGGCGATCAAAATCAATATGAATAATCAAAGGAATTTCGGTAATTTTTATTAAACAAATAACACAACTCATTAAGGTGATAACAAAAAACAATATAAAACGCGTTTTGATCAAACCAAAATTAGATTTTGTTTTGATTTTTCCGAATTATTTGATTTCATCTGTATTGTATCTAAAATATTAGATAGCAATAAATCAAATAACAGTAAGAAGAATTGTTAGAATCAAGGCTGAAAATAAATCAAACTCAATTAAGTTGATTAATCGCGTAATTTAGGAGATATTATAGTCAAAACCCACTGCATATTATCAGAAATGCTTGGATAAATAGCCGGATTGAAAAGAAATCCTGGTAAAATTAATAAACCATCAATGAAAAACATAACGATCCAAAATGTCCGTACAATCTTGAAGAATATGAACATACATACCAAAATTGATATCCATGAAAGCTGGCCGACAAATGATAAGTCTGATAATTTTGTAAAACAACTATTATAAAAAGAGTAAAAGCGGCTTACAAATATAGATATGATATGTGCTATATTTTCAAGCGGGTAAATTCTATTTGATGCTGTCGAATCATAATCTACAGGAACAGGTGGGAAGAATATATTTGAAACGACACCATGACGCTCATGAATCATCATAATGTATACAAAGGAAACTGTAATGATAATCGAGATGTTAATAAATGATAAATTTAATAAATATATTATTATTGCCCAAAAATTAATATATAGTAAAACAAGAATCAATTGAATCGGTCGTCTCCATAAAAAGAATGCTTGGAGTTTATCAATTGTCTCTTTATATGGAGTTAATATTTCTATCAAATAATCTTCGCTGAGTTCGGGTGCGTAAGGTACATTAAACTTTATTACTTGGGCTTCATCATGCTGCTGAGCTTCTTGATTGAGCTCAGAATTAGATGATGAAGCGCTAAAACCAAATTCGGTCATTTTCAAAAAATAACTTGCCTTCTCATAATTCTCTAATAAGGTTCAAAAATAGATGTAGACGAGATAAATGATCGATTTGCACTTAAATTTACTCATGAATCAGAGAACAAGGAATGAATTCATTCTTTGATTCAAAATTTCTGCTTCAGTCATATGAATTTTTATAAGCTCATAAACAACATTATGTGAACTTTCGTTTGAAGTCAAAAATCATGATTTCGATAATTAAAATTTTATTCAAGAATATTTTAGTTGCGACTGATCTTGTTATCACATGAAATCAGGAGACTAACAATATCATTATAATTGTTTTCAATTGCAATACAAAGTGCCGTTTTTCCATATTCATCTTTGATATCAAGATCTGCACAATGCATGATTAAAAATTCAACAAATTCTTTGTAATTGTGCTGTACTGCAATATGGAGAGGAGTTCTTCCATTTTTATCTTTGATATTGACATCGGAACCATGTGTAACAAGAAAATTGGCGAGTTCAATATTATGTTTGATAACTGCATAATGAAGAACAGTTTGTCCATTTTTATTGGTAATGTTCACATTTACATTATGTGATATGAGAAATTCAACAGCAGCAATGTTATTATACTTTATTGCATAATGAAGAACCGACTTTTCTTTGATATTTTTTGCGTTGATGTTAGCACCATTATCTATGAGGAACTCAAAAATCTCCAGACTATCAATATGGATAATTATTGATATATTGAGAATTTATCCATAAAGAAAAATGAAGTGCTGCTCTGCCATCAGCATCAACTACAGAATTGATGTCAATTCCATTCGAAATGAGAAATTCTATCATTTCTTTATCACCAAAAATTATTGCAAAATATAGAATTGAATATCCTTTTTCTACTCTTGTGTTTGCATCTGCACCATTTAAAATGAAAATTTTGATAATTTCTCTATGATAATTTCTAATTGCACATTGAAATGGTGTATAATTTTCAATATCTGTCACGTCCATATTGGCTCCATGTGATATAAGAAATTCAGCAATTTCAATTGAATTATTTATTGCTGCCAAATGAAGTGCTGTCTTATCATTATTGCATTTTGTATCAACATCAACAAGATATTTGCCATTATTCAATATGAGAGATTCTACCATTTCCTTATTTTTCAGTAATGTTGCTAAATGAATGGGATAACATCCATTGATATTTTTAATATTGGGATTTGCATCATTAGATATTAGAAAATTTAAAATATCTTTATTGCCATTTTTACAGCATAATGAAGCGCAGTATTATTTTGATTATCTTTTGCATTGATATTTGCACTATGTGAAACTAACAGTTCAACAAGATCTTGATTTCCAATTTCTATTGCATAATGAATTAAAGATTTCTTATTGTAATCTTTGAAGTTAACATCAGAACCATGTAAAATTAATAGCTCTGATATATCCTTATTGTTGTTTTCAATCGCAAGGCTAAGTGCAATTTTACCACCAAAATCCTTAATTCTAGGATTAGCACCATTCAAAAGGAGAATTTCTGTCATCTCTTCAAGATTGTACCTTACTGCTAAATGAAGTATATTTCCAGAAGCCACTTCCCTATTGATTTTTGCACCATTGGCAATTAGAAATTTAGTCATTTCGATATTATTATCTTCAACAGCAGAATAAAGAAGAGATCTTTTATATGCAATGTCAACATTGATTCTGACTCCTTTGGCAATGAATAATTTCGCAGTTTCGTAATAATTATTTTGTATTATTCCTGAGATAATGCTTTTATATTCACTATAATGTGTATTGACATTTGCACCATGAGAAATGAGATAATCATATAAAGGTGGGAAATTAATTAACATAATATCTTGGAATGAATTCTTAAAATTCTTTGTCTGATCCAAATAGATAAAAAAACCCTGGAAAAAATAAAATTTAGAGCAGACAGAAAGGGGTATTCTAATATTGAATGTACTCATCAAATAAAGAACAAAATCAATTCTATAAGATTCAATTGCATAACTCATACACATATCATCTGGCATTTGAGATTTCAAACATTCATGCATAATATCAGCGTTTCCACCTAAAAACGATTTTTGAAGACATCTGCGTGTAATTTCATATTTAAATTCTGTTCTTAAATACTTGAAACAGTTTTCAGCTCCATACATGCAACACCACACAAGTAAAATTTCACCAAACTGTTCTCTATTAAGAAAATTCCAGCTTAATCTACTTTGTGGTTGTTGACATAAATTTGATTCTTCCATTGCTGTTAAATCAATAAGAGAATGTAAATCATCATTAATAATTGCTCTTTGAAATGGGCTAAGTTTATTTAAAAAGTTTTCATTATAAGTTTCTACCGAGTATCTATTTTCCCCATTAATTTTATCAATTAAAAATTGATATGACGAACAATATTTATCTCTGTTCTGGGTTATTTCATATATTAATGAGATAATCTGAGCTCGATACATAATTTTTGGTTCAAGAATCTTTGATTTGATTTCCTGGTATAGCAATTCGATTTCTCTCTCATCATAAGTTGCGAGACTGAACAATGAAACAAAGGCATCATTTATACCAGAACATAGATCCATTAGATCATTATATGTCTTATGATCCATTTATGAATATGTTCCCTAAAAATATGAATTTACAAAACCGACAAAGATGTTGTAAATAGACTAAAATCTTCAAAGATAATTGATGGAAATAACATGACAACATGCAAGACACCAGTCATTGATACCTCATAACATAATTATTTATATATTTTTATTGATTTAAAATATTAATTAAGATTCATAATGTTAATTAGCTCAAATTGTGAAAAAATTGGCCACAAACATTTGATATGACTCATCAATGATCTACTTCATATTTTGTATTATTTTAATATGCCCAAAATATGATACAATCTAGTTTACTATTAAAAATAGTTTTATTTAAGATTAGAGAATTTATCATGTTCGAAATTGTTGTATTATAGACACCAACTATAACTGTATCAATATCCCATATTGGCATCCAAAAATGTTTCCTCAATGCAAAGATAGCATTCAATTTTAACTTACTGATCTAAAAAAGTGACATTTTTCTGGAAATTCAATAATGCAAAATTTCATTGATACTTGAAGATATTGCGAATCCTGTGTCTGAATACATTGTTTCTTCTGATGTTGTTAGTATTGCCAATGGAACATCAAGCCAATACTTTGCCTTAAAATCAATTAAAACATTACAAAAACTTTTTTTCGAAAGTCCATCATCTCTTAAATTTCTTGGACATTATTCATTTTATCAATGTACATTACTTCGAGAACTTGATTTCTCCAATTGCACTTCCCTAGAAAATATAGGATCATTTTGTTTTTCCGTATGTTATTCAATTACACGAGTGATCTTTCCAATGCAGTCAAAACTTGAAATATTAGATTATGCATGCTTTAATTTAATGTTTTCTGTTAAATCCTATTTATTTCCTTCTTCATTGAGATACATCAATGGTGTAACTTCTGAATATGGTTGTTTTAGCTCTTTCTCAGGTGATGAATTGAGATTTAACGAAGGATTATTATCACTGGGTGAATGCGCTTGCATTTATGTACGCTGCAATTATGTTTATCTACCATCCTCTCTTATATATTTGGATTCAAGCGCATTTAGATGCAATAATAATTTGATTGAAATTATTACTAATCAATCTACTGTGTGCGCTGTTGTCGATAAAGCATTACTTAGTTATGATCAAACTCTCTTATATGCTTTCCCTTCTCAGATAATAGGTACATATTATGTTCCTAATTGTGTGCAAGTAATTTGCACAGACTCTTTCCGTTTTTCAAAGTTGAATGCAATAATACTTCCTAATTCATGTACCGAACTAGAATCTCTGGCCTTTTTTCATTTGGTACAAAAAGTATTATCAAAGTTCAAGATGAATCTATTAAAGATTGTCCAAAATTGAGAAATTTAACAATTGAAATGGAGAGAATCCCAAAACTCCACTATCAATCTGTTGAAATAATGACTTTAGGAAATGAAACAAAAGTCATTGAAAATTATGCCCTAATTAATGCCGTGAATTTACAATCAATTATCATTCCACCTTCAGTCATAGAGATTGGCGTGGAAGCTTTTCGAGGCTTAAAGAAGCTCAGATGCGTAAGGATATATGGTCAGCCTTCTATTGGCATGTCTGCTTTCATGGACACTAAAATTTCCTGTGGTATCGATTGCTATTCTTCTCTGATTGAACCTCTCATCATTTCAGGTGTGAATAGAAAGTCATTCAACTATTGCTGTTTGACAGTCGTTGTGCAAAATGCATTTTGCTTCAGATCATTATTGGATTTCCAATATTGTGTTTTTAATTTAATATAAAATTAACAATTTATGAACTTTTATACATGTGCATTAGGACTCAAAATTATTATGATTATGATTATATATGCTTCTAATACAAATCAACGTTTGAATCAAAAATAATCGAAGTTTTGAAAATTTATGTATATAATGTTTTCAAGGATGTGCAAATCGAATTGGAGAATTTTATTACGGCAAATGATTCTTCATTCTACAATATAGATTTCGTTCAATCAAAATATCAATAGAACGATTATTAGATCTTCACCCTTAATAATTCATTTAATCAAAGAAACCTCCCTAATACTTTACCAATTAATTAATATCTATATTCTACATCCTTTCTCCTTGCTCTCATCAACATCTTCTGAATTTGCAAGAATTCCATGAGAGAAAAGAATTTTATTTATTTTCTTTTTATTCCTGTATGAGGCATTTTGAAGAGGAGTTCTTCCTTTATTATTTGTCGCATTAATATCTGCACCATGGTCTATAAGAAATTCTACAAATCTCATATTATTGTTTGAAACTGCATAATGAAGGGGAGTGTTCCCTTCAAAGTCCTTTGAATTAATATCAGCTCCATGAGAAATAAGAATTTCACTTACTCTGATATTACAATTTGCTACGGCATAATGAAGAGGAGTACAATGTTGAAAATCTTTTATATTTACATCTATTCCATGTGAAATAAGAAAATATAAATGTGGAAGATTAATTAAAACCCCATATGTAATTTCATTATGAATAAGAGATCTTCCAAAATTATCTATACAATTTATATCCGCACCATTAGAAATAAGAAGTTCTGCCATTTCAAAATTGTCATGTGCTCTTATATAACGCATTGCAGTAATCCCATAGTTATTTTTTATATTGACATTAATACCATTCAAAAGAAGTAATTCTGCAATGTCAATAAAATTTTTTTCTGCAGCATAATGAAGAGCCGTGTTTCCAATATCATCAATTGCATTAATTTCTGCACCATGTGAAATAAGAAATACCACCGCATCTTTACAACCTTCTATTGCTGCAGCATGAAGAGGGGTTCTTTTCCAATTGTCTTTTGCATTTATATCTGCATTATGTGATATAAGAAAATCCATCATTTTCGTATTGTTTGATTGAGCTACAAAATGAAGCAATGGTCTTGAATCACACATTGTATCATTGATGTCTACACCTCGCGATAGAATTTCAGTGGCAATTAATATTCTATCCATTACCACGGCTTTTCCTAAAGCTGTAAATCCTTCATAGTTTCTTATATTAAAATCTGCTCCTTGTGAAATAAGGTATAATGCAATATCATTATTATTTTTAATGATTGACAAATGAAGGGCAGTATTACCAAAACGGTCTTGCCAATTGATATCAATTCCATGCGATATAAGGTCCTCAACAATTTTCGCTGAATTATTTTCTGATGCATAATGAAGAGCAGTTCTCCTAAAATAATCATTAGTGTTGATATCGACACCATATGAAATTAAAGAATTTACAATATCCTGATTTCCATTTTGTGCAGCTATGTGAAGAATGGTTTGCCCCATGAGAAATTAGAAAATCTATGAGATCTTTATCACCCTTTTCTGATGCATATAGTAATGCAGTTTTCCCTTTATAATCTTTGGATTCAATGTATGCACCATTCGTAATTAAAATTTCCACAATTTCCTTATTGTTATTTTGTGCCGCAAGAGAAATCGCAGTTATGTTATTTACAGTTTTTGCATTGATATTTGCTCCAAGTGATATAAGAACCTTAACAGTTTCAAGGCAATTCTTTAATGCAGCATAATGAAGAGGAGTTTCAGCAAAATAAGCTTTTGAATCAATTTTTGCACCATGATCTATAAGATAAATTACTGATTCAAGGTTATTTTTTTGAGCTGCATAATGAAGTGGAGTTTTTTTATTTTTCGATTTTATATTGACTTTAGCATTATGTGTAAGTAATAATTCCATTATTTTTGGGCAATTACATAATGCAGCATTATGAAGTGCCTTCCGGTTATCTTTATAGCCTTTTACATTTATTTTTACATTTTTTGAAAGAAAATATTCACAAAGAGATGGGATGCGAAAGATTGGTGAATAGATAAAGCATTCATTGATATCGTTTGTTTGGTCCAAATAAATTAAAAATGCATGAAGGTTATTATATTTTCCACAAAATTCAACATTGATACTCAAATCGTATTCGTTCATCAAAAAAGAAATAAAATCAATGTTATGAGAAGCAATTGCATATTCCATGCAAATTTCATCTGGCGTTTGATATTTTAAGCATTCGTTCATGATATCAGGCTTTCCACTTAAAAATGAAAGTTGAAGACATGCAGGTGAAATTTCTTCATCTAGTTCTGACCTTAAAAATTTAAAACAACCGACAGCCCCATAATAGCAACATAATTCGATTAATGAATAACTATTTGCTGATGAAGGAAATAGTTTATTTGAGAATTGTTTATTTATATCAAATCCCACTCTTTGAGTGTATGATATAAATAATTCTATGTCATCACTTAATATTGCCTCTGATAATTGTTTTAGGTCTTGATCAATAAGCGAATCAAAATCAGATTTAATATTATTGAAAAATGAAACTTGTTGTTTGTTAAATATCTGATTTTTTTGTGCATCTATAATTTGTTGATAGATTGAGTAATATGACATTACAAATCGATTGTTAAATCGTAATGCTACTAATAAAACACTTATTATATCATCATGGGAGAATAATTTTGTTTGAATCAAGTTATTTTCAATTGTTTGATAAATTTTAATTAATTCATCGTCGGCATCTGTTTTTAACCGGTATATTGAATCTATAGTTTCACAATAGCTTGCAAATTGTGGCATCAGCACTTCAAAATGCTCCTCATCGCAGTGCACTTTAGACATACAAAAATATAATGAGATTTTTTCGGTTTTAATGAATTTTTAAATATTTGAATAATCTTCTATAATAACCTTTATTATCTCAATTCATCAATTAAATCAATGTAAATTGTTTGAAATACTTTCGGCGGTTTCAGTCAATCGGATCCCAAGACATTAATAAAAAATTTTTAAACCGCTATTTACGGATTTGATTTAAATTATATAAAATCATAAATTGCTTCTTCCCTTGCGCAAAATATTTTTTCAATTGAGTTTCAAAGTTTTATTGAAATTCATTTTCTCCATTTTGCAATTTTAAAGTTATATATTTATTATTCCAGCATAAGCTGTAATAAATAATTTTTTTCTATTAAAAAAAGATGTTGTAATTTCAGGAAACACAAAAAATTTTGATTATATTATTGCATATTTTTAGTATTTTTTAGTATTGTGCAATATGGAGATATTAACAAAACAATTGTTGAACCATTTCAATTACATTGACAAGGAGGAAAACTATCACAAATCAATGTAAAACTATATTTGAACAAATTGAGAAAAATGCTTGCCGTTGGTTATGGATGAAATTTTAATTAAAGATGTCATTCATTATCACATGATAGCTCTTTAATCTTTTTAAGAGCTGCATTAACTTGCTTTCGGAATTCACCACCTTCCTTTTGGAATCCAACTTCTTGCTCCCATGATCCCAAATGACATAATATTCGACTTTTCATCTATAGTATATTTCTATGTTTAGTCATTTTTTTATTATCATTTTTAGATATGGAATAAGATATATCTTATTATATAGAGCAATATGTTTGAATATGAATCAGAACTTCAATGAAATGACCTTATTCAACTGAAATCGATTATATTATGTTTAATTCTAAATCCAAAAACTATATTTTTTTTAAAACAATAATATATTTTTACTCAAGTAAGCTTTCTGGATATAAATCTGAAAGCATTGAAGTAATGAACAAACAAATCTTTTCATCAGATGGTTTATCACTTAATTCAAGTCTATCTTGAATTTCTTGAAGAGTTTCAGGCAATTGTTCACGAAATTCTTCGTAATATTTATCATGAGTTATAATATCTCCAATTGAATCTAAAGCTCTATAAAGAGAATCCAAGAGCTGTAGCAATTTATCATCATTCACAAGATCTAAAACATCAAGGCATTGCAAAGGCAGAGAAGTCGCAAACAAAAGAGATAATTGATTTCTATTTCCATGATGAATAACATTAAAAATTGCACTAACAGTATAAACTTTTGCTTTCGAAACAGCTTTCTCTAAAATAGTTATGAAGAATTTTGTATTCTCTTCTATTAATATATATTGTATAGAAGACTGATCAATGTAAGCTAAATTTGCTGCAATTCTAAAACATGTCAAATATTCTTCATGATTATTTTCAAGAGTTTTGATGAAATCCATAATTGTTGAGAATTGGATGTATTCTAATATAATATCATTCCATCCGTCGTATGATAATGCAGTAAGTTGTTCAATGGATTGGAACATTGTTGGTCTCAAGTGTGGAGGAACAATAGATGGGCCATTAAACACTAAATCAATTAACTCAGAGTCAATTAATACGGAACATGGGTCTTCTTCTGTTGTATCTATAGTCTTGAGTAGGAGGGGGAAATATTGTACGATCTGATCAAAGTTTAAATCGAAGAGTTTCTTGAAAATTATAATTAAATTTTGTAAAATCTCTGAATGATTCTCAAATTTGCTTAATTTATGAAGTAGTAAATGATATATTGTAAGTAAATTCAAAATTACTATCGAAAAGTTCTCATCTTGACTATTATCTGTGAAATACAAACCTAAACTTATGAGATCATCAAAAATATTCATTTCTACACATGCTTTGAAACCAACTTCTGTAGAGGCAATAGCAGCAAATATTGCTGTACATGGAATTACGCAATTTGCATCTTCTAATTTTTGATGAAAGATCTGTAGTCCGCCAAATTCAACAAACCATTCAGCTGGAGTTCTGTATTGCGCTATATATTTTGCTAAAAGTTCAAGAGATAGGTTTTGAACAGGTACTACAGACATATTTGATGCCAATCTAATCAATAATCTGCAATCATCACGATTGATAGCGTATTCGTTTTGTACATCTAGACTTAAAAGTAGTTTTAGTTTATCAATCACAGAATCCCAATTTGAACAAGCTTCAGATTCTAGTATTTCAGATATAATTTTGGATTTGTTGACACGTACAACTGGAGTATCATCAACTTGTTTAAAGTCCTGAACTTTTTCGGTCGTATCGGATTCTTTATATTCCATTTTTTGATCAAAATTTGTTTTTTATGAAATGAATCTTAATCACTCATTATACAATTCAGATTAATAATCTTTAGTGAACCCGGTAAAAAGAGTTGAAACTGTTGATTGGCTGACAAAAACTCAATCAATTTGTTTTTACATTTTTGGACAATGTTTTTATATTTTAATGAAGATGTTAGAACGCAACAATTATTAACTATAAGAATTTTTTTGTGAGAATTAATTCAGAGTGATATTCAAATTAATTTTTTTTTTGTTTTTGATGGATGATATAGATTTGTATGAATTATTTAACTTTAATGATTTAATCATACGAATCTTATCAATCCAACCGATTGAAGATGAGAAAATCGAGGAAATGGAAGAAGAATTTCGGACAATTTTTGAAGATTACGAATTTCCTAATTTATCACCAACAGATTTAAGGAAAATCGAGAAGGAACTAAGCGAAGGCTACGTGATATCAGACATTCTTTCCATATATGATATCAAATTAACATTCTATCCCGATGTTTTAGACGAAATCACAAATTCTCATTATTTCAAAACTAACTATCCGAAGTATTTCATAGTGTTTACACTTCAAAATTTCGTTTCATGGGTATCAATTTACGATAGATGCCACAATCCTGAGTATTTTACAGTTTTATTGAAATCATTACACACAATATCCACATTTAAATCAGTTAACTCGATTTATTATGCAGGAAATATGGCAGCATCGGCATTTCTGTACAGTTATGAGCATCTCCTTCGTTTCCCACAAGATATAAATTACATTGATATCGTAAACCCAATAGAAGAGTATTTCTTATACCACGAACTACTTCCATCCAGTGCGTACCAGATTTTAGGTGTCCTTTCGGAGCAGATTTTCAAAACTTGCATAAATTTATCGAATCTACCGGCACAATTTCTAGATTTTTTGACACATCTTTCGAAAACAGTTAAGGAGAGGATCCCTTCTTCGATATACGAACTTGTTTTACACAAGAATGTTTTAGCATTATCGAATTTGTACATTTTTTCACTGAAATTCTTCAAAGAATCGATCAGATTTGTCGATAAAAACCTACCTTACATACTTTTCGAGCCAATTTGCTCAAAAATCATCGCTGTATTAGAAAAACATATAATAAACAACCAAGAAACTACCAAAAACACAGATCATCCCATCAAACTCCACAAGCAGGCCAAACTCTTCCATATAAACTCCAAGCGAAAACCATTACAAAAAACAGATATCAAATATGTTGAAGAAAAGTTACTGGAATTGAAGAAAAACTGTGACAATATGAAACTAATTGATGAAGACTTCAGGATGAAACTAGATTTACTTATAGAAACCGTATCTTTTGACGAAGAAATTTCGAATAAATTTATTAAAATTTATTCTGACGTCCTAATCTCCGAGAAAAAGGAGAAATCACTCAACCAACTCTTAGTTTTCTTCTATCTCGCAGACAAAATCTCCAATTCCTTCCATTTTCCTGTTGATCAGATCTTATTTCAACCGTTACTCGCTCCAGAAACCACTATCTTCGGAAATATGCCATTAGAACTCAATGTAACACGATACCACGCGTGTTCAACACTTCTAAAGTGCTCGCAATCGTCGTTTAAAGAGATTTTGTCACCTTTTACGATATTCCCCTTAATTTTTGCGGAACTCTCCCTTCGATTTGCTGTTTCTTTTAGGAATGTCGATGAAGAATGGTCAGAAGATTTAAGTACATGGATTCTTGAAGTGTTTTTCAGTTTATCAGATTACGAATCTATCAAACAAACTCATTTAGAAGCAGTTAGATACATGAGAAGCTCTATTTTTGTTTATTTGATGTCTATTTTGTCTTTTACTAATACACGGAAGATTTTCTTTGATTCATTTGACTTCTGTCGGAGTTATTTTTGTTTGTTTTATGAAAAAGAAATTGGAAAAGATTTTGAAAAACTTTTTGACACTTTTTTGATGGAAACCGATGATGTTTCACAAGATTTAGTACAAAGTGTTGATGTATTTAGCGAAGAACTATTCGAGAACAAAGAATACATCATATTAAAACAAATGTTGAAGACAATCAACAAATCAATGTCAAATCAAAAAATTTCAAAATCTTTTTCAAAAGTGACAGATAATTTATGTACAAATTTGACGCAAATTTCGAAAGATGATAAAGAAAGTGTAGATATATTAATGGAAGTAGTAACTTTTCTATCAAATACAACTAAGGACTTGAAAATCAATGCGAAAAATTTAATTGCAATTGAAAGTTGTATTGACAAAAACGTGAAAATTAATGATGAAATCAGAGATAAACTGATTGATATATTAAGTGGCGGAATATACAGCCAGAACCACCAACCTTTTGTTATAAAACAACCAAGTGTTTTGACACTTTTGGTAAAAGTTTTCAAGGGTGGTCAAAAACAACATTCTCTTTTGAAATTTTTATTGGACTTGTTAAGAGCAAAACCAATAAACGTCTGGAGATGTCATGAAAGCGGTTTTGACATGACACTTTTGGACCTTTTATTTGAATGGCGTGTAGAAGGAAAAGTGGAAGAAGAAAACGTCGATTTATGTCTTATTATTGTTAATTTTATCGCTATGTCGATCACTTCACCTGTTGTTGTTCAGAAATATATTTCTTTGTTGAGCTCTTTCGATGGTGAACATTTACCTTTTTACCATTCAAATTTTGTTAAGAGTTTACAACGGTTATTTAAGACAGGCGAGTTTATGCCTGACGGATCTCTTTGTCTTGATAATTTATCAACTGTTTCAATACAAAATTGCGGTTTATCAAATGACTTCACTTTTAGTTTTTGGCTTTTTTTCATGAAGCAAAATATAGGAACAAAACAAATCTTGATACAAATAAAGAAAGATAATGAAAGTGAATTGAGAATTTCCCTTAAAAATGGTGTGATTTGTATTGTTTTGAGATCAAGTGAAGTGACCACAAAACTCAATTTAGATGTAGATTTACAGGAATACAAATGGAATTTTGTTTCTATTTCGTTTAGAAGCAAACAAATCAAAATTTATACAAATAAGTCACTTTCTTTGACATTTAACGAATTCTACGGTTTGTCACCGACCAATTATAACATAAAGATCAATTTTCCAAGTCAAAAATACAAAAACAATCCAACAAAAGGTCTGAAACTTGGCAGTTTTTGTTTATTGAATGGTTCTTTTGATTTGGAATATCACAACAAATTGTTTACTCTTGGATTAAGGAATAACTACAAGAACGATGATGTTTGTTTCAGTTTTGTTCCCCATCTTGTTACAGGTAGGTTCAAACCATCGAAATTCTCTTCTTGCGGTTTGAAATTCGTTCACAACATCAAAAGAATTAAAAGAGAATTGACATTTCCGTCACTTTTTGTAAGTGTTTGCAATGTTGAAAATGTTGTTCCTTTGTTTGCGCAGATAGACATGATCAATCTAAATAATGAGAAAGAAAAAGATCTATGCCATAACGCTATAAATGTCTTGAAATGCGTGCTGACAACAAGTAAATCAGCACAAATTTCTTTCTGCGATGTTGATGGATTCAGAGCAATTTCTCACCTTTTGATTGAAACCGAAAATTGTCTCAATTTTGAGATTTACAACGGTTTTTATGAATTGTCAAATATGATTAAGCACAAATCCCTTTTGAAACAACTATTGGAATATATTGTTCTTAATTTAGATATTTGGATAAAATGCGATGAAGAAAATCATTTGAAAATTCTCAAACATTACAGAGATGTTTTGTTTGTCAATACAAGTTTAGCGAAAACTATATTGAGTTTTCCATTTTGGAGTTCTATTTTGAGATGTTATTATTGGTACAAAGATGCGGACAAAAATTTCTCCGTCAAAACAAGAAATATTTCTCCAGAAAAAATTGTTTTGTTTAGACAAATTATTTTTGAAATTATGTCATTTTATATCAACGAAAATCTTCAAGAAAATGAATACCAAGTATTCCTAAGAAGTGTTATTTCGTCCCAAGAAGATAACCAGACATTTGATTTACTCGGTTTCATTGTTTCTCAAATGACAAGTCCAAAAACTTGTCAAAAAGTGACAAAAATGATTTTCACAAACATTTCTTGTTTATTACAACTGATTGCCAGGAACAAACCAGAGCTAACATCCAATACTATACAAGCCACGTCATATATGTTCTCTTCCAAGACTGAATTCCATTCATTTGTCTTCCAAATTTTGATGAAAATGGATCCTTCTGTTTGCAAAGAATTTGTTTTACAAGGATTGACAGGAATAATTGATGGCGGAAACACGGAAGTTCTTCCTATTGCTATATACATAGCTATCAATTTAAGTCAATCACATCTTGTTAATTTGTTTAACAATCTCTCGAGAAATTCCAATTATTATTTTAGTGATTTATCAATTGTTTATCCAATTTTGGCTGCATTTAAATCTGATGAACAAAGTGACCTCCAAATCTTTGATTTCATTGTGAAAGTGTTTAAAGGAAAATGGCTGGAAGTATTTGTCCTTATCTCTATTATCGGTGGAGAATTAAATATGATGACTTACGCACAAACAATTCAAAATATTTATCTCCAAAGTTTGTGTATCTATTTGATGAAAAATGAAAAAAGTGACGAAGATTTGACAACTTTTGAAAAATTAGTTTTCAATTTCATTTTCTTCAGACCAACACTGATTGAAGGAACATATCATCTGAAGAACACAGCGCTCAATGAGATGTATACTGATTCTCCTTTCTTGCATCAAAAAATGCCTGCAAAAGAACTCAACAAATTGAACATTTTGAAAAATCCTAACAAAGTTCATTTGTTAGTTCAAAAATTACCACCGAAACAATACTTCGGAATTCGTATAAACGAAGACAATGAGTGGGCGGATTCACAGTTATGTGTTGGCGCATTAAATTTGTTGATGCAAAATAAGAAAAATTCTTTTGAAAAACACTTGTTGTTGATGATTGGTTTCGTTGCTGAAATTGATGGAACATTAGTTAACCAGTATGATTTAACACAATTCAATGATGTTGATGGAATTTGTTTCGTTCTTTCCAAGCAAATAAAACTTGGAATTCCTGTAGATTACAAAATTCCTTCAAATGAAATTGTGTCAAACGGTTTTAACTTTTTAGAGAATGTTACAAAAGAAACAACATTCTTTGAGACATTGAGCAACCAGATAACAACAAGTTTGATGACTTCTTTGCGCGAAATCCAGAATTCCGTGCAAGAAATCAAACTTCCAACGTTTGATGTCGTTTCCGCCTTCGATGACATGAGAAAAGAAAAATTACAAAATGGAGAAGACGCGTGGATTTCGATGTGGAGATCAATGACATTAGAAAGAGCTCCATGGAATTCTTCTTTGCCACCACAATCTCGTAACATCGTTAAATACAAACGAGATAGAACAGTTTGCAGAGGATTTGTTCCATACAAAACAAGAAGAAACTTCGATTTCGATGACCACAAAATGGCATCATTGTTTAGAGACACAGGTAATTTTGATATTGCAAAACAAACATTGCAATTCTCTTATGAATCAGGAGCATTAAGTTTGGAAAGATCCAAATCAGTTGTTTATCTTCCAACAGCAACAAAAATCAAAGCAAGAAAAAGTGTTGATCCAACATCTGATGTTTTAGGAGCGACAAGAAATGCATTGACAATCAAATGCAGATTGGTAACTATAGAATGCAAAACTAAATGCCAATTGTCTGTCAATTCAAAGAGAATTGTAATTACTAAAATGAAAGATGACAAAGAACACGAAAAAAGAATTGTAATCGATAAAAGAGACATCGTGAAATTCTTAATGAGATCATGGAGACACAAAATTTTCTCTGGTTTCGAATTGTTCACTTCACAATCGAAAAATTACTTTGTTTTGTTTGATACGCCTTCGAAAGGAGTTTTCATGCAAATTGTAAGAGCATTGAAACTTCCTCCTTCAGCAAATCTTGTTCAAACTGTTCCGTACTTGAGTTTCTTCTCTACAACGGATTTCACAAATAAATGGGTCAATGGCGAAATCTCTAATTTCGACTATTTGATAATTTTGAATGAGTTAAGTGGCCGAACATTTAACTCTGCCTCCATGTATCCTGTTTTCCCATGGACAATCAAGGATTACGACTCCGAATTCCTTGATCTCTCTGATCCATCCGTTTACAGAGACTTCTCTTTACCTGTTGGAGCGTTCAACAGACAAAGATTGGAAGATTGTCAGAAGAAAATGAATGAATTAATTGAATTCGGTTTGTCACCTCACCTATATAGTTCTGGCTACTCAAATCCATTGAGTGTTTATCTTTGGCTGTTGAGAATGGAGCCATTCACAACAAGACACATTAAAATGCAGAGTGGAAGGTTCGACAACCCCGCAAGATTGTTCTTTTCCGTGAAAGACGCTTTTAGATTGTGCAACAACCAAATGGGAGATTTCAGAGAATTGACGCCTGAATTCTTTTACGATGTCGATTTCCTTTTGAACAAAAACGAATTCGATCTCGGAGAAAACGTCAACGATGTAATTCTTCCAAGTTGGGCGAAAGATGTATTCGATTACATCTATCTGATGAGGAAGTCCTTGGAAAGCGATTACGCATCTGAACATCTCAATGAATGGATTGATTTGATCTTCGGAGTGAATCAAAGAGGAAAAAACGCAGAAAACACTCAAAATATTTTCAAAAAAGAATTGTACGATGACATTTGGGATGATTCTTATTCGACATCGGACGAAAGCATCAGATTGGACATTGAAACACAGTTAGATCAAGTAGGACAGATTCCTCCACAATTGTTTAAAGAACCACATCCTAAAAGACTTCCAAAGAAAAAGTTCAGATTTGATTATCAAAGAAAAATTTCTTTGAATAACCAAGATTTGATTAATTCCACTTTTGTGAACTTTTCTCAAACTGACATTAACTTAGTCGCATTGACACAGAACGGATTGATACTTAGATACATATTGCCAATAGATAACATATTGGCAAACCAACAGAACGACCAGATCTTGCCATCGAACACTTCGAATGTCACTAAAAACATCGTTTCCAGGAAAAGAAGTCAAATTATTTGTTGTTCTCCTGAAGATGGAATTGTTACATTACACGATGTTTTTAATGCACCAGAGACAGGCCAAACAATTGGACATGTTCACACAGAAGTATCTTGTGCAGATACGGATGACGGATGGGTTGTTTTGGCTGGAACAGATGCAGCTTTGTTGATCATTAGAAATGCAACAGGATCAGTTGTAAGAACATACAGAGACACAATTTCATGTTTGAGTGTTTCGAGTAATTTCGATTTGGCCGCTTGTGTTTCTAGGGATTCTTCACTGATTTATGTTTCATTGTCAAGGGCTGAAGTGTCAAGAGCTGTTGAACTTCCTCCTAAGAGCAATCCTCTCTTCATTTCGATTGGTCCTTCAATGGGATCTGTTTGTGTTGTTTATAACAAAGCTGTTGATGGAATTTTCGTCAATTTCTTGAGAGTTTACACAGTAAATGGAGATTTGGCAAGAGAAAGAAGACTCAGTTTCGAAGTAACTGATCTCTGCGTCTTCGCAACACAAAGAAGTGGAATTGATACGTTCTGTTTAGGCTCGTCTGATGGAAATGTTTATTTATGCGAATGCTTGTCTTCAGTTAATTTGATTCCGATTGTTAAATGTTCTTCTAAGGTAGTAAGAATCGAATACGTGGACCGGGAGAATGCTATTGTTGCTACTGCAGAAAATGGATCTATCTATATTGTACCTTATGAATAAAATGTTTTTATGTATTTTTGTTTTATAATATAATTATAATAATTTTTTAAATAAGATCGAATATCCTGTGAGTATTGAATATTTTAATTTTGAGTGTCCAATATCATCCTAATATGAACTACATAGAGAATTTTCTAAAAAATGTCTTGCATACATCTCCAAATTTGAGCCATTTTTTGCAATTTGATCATATAAAACCTCGAATTTCGACACCAAAAATTCGAGAAATTTAGTCCCATAGTTTTCGTGTATCAAATTTTGTCACAGATTTTTAATTGATATCATGATTTAAATGTATTAATATAGGACATATACTAGCATAAATTCTTTATATTTACTGAAGATCTGAGGTACTTGTACAGATGTTAAATCCCAAATGAGGAACAAAGTCTTCAAAGACTACTTTCTTTTTCTATCAGATACTGAATGAAGACTTAAATCCTCATCTGAAGCATAAATTCAGATGTCGTATCATCACTTACTGATAAAGGAATGAGTTTGAACAAAAAAGTGGTATTTATTTTTCTTATTGTTACAGCGATCCATCAAATATTCTCATTGCTTCACACTGAGTTATATTTGAAATATCTTGCTAGTCTCACAAAATCAATTTCATCACCCGAAAAACTCCAACTATCGTCGAGATGTGAAATAATATTTTCAGATTTTTTGAAAAGAGATTATTGATTCACTGAAATATGTAATCAACTTTAAATATAAGTGTATTAATTGAATTAATTAATTAAATTATTATGAGATGTTTATTCTTATATAATAATAACGTTACATTATCTTTTACCAATATAAAATAATGCTATTATAAAAAGATTATGAGAAATTTGTAGCGAGTGGGGGACAAACTCGCCCATTGTCACTTTTTCATTAACCTTAAACTTGTAATTTTCATTATTTTTAATTAACCTTATTTCTTTCCCAATTCCTGATTTATTTTATTCACTTACTATTAAAAGTCACATTTTAATAAAATATAATAATTTATTTATAGCATTTTTTACTATACTGTAATAAAAAATTAATTATAATAAATTAAATGTTTATTAAATCAAATGTTTTCTTTGCAATAATATTTTTAATGTTGAGTAAACAATGTTGGGATCAAGTGTATCATTTTTCAGACCTTTCTGAGTTAGTATACATAACAAGGGTACGACGGCACTGCGTTCCACCGTACCCCTGTTATGTGAATTTGACACTTTACAAAACCGTTAACGTATATTTTACAATACAAACGACAACACTAACTTAACCTTAAATATTTACAAAGCCGCCAACCACTTCACCTCACTAATGTAAAAAATAAACGTTCTCACTTACAAAAGTATTGCAACTCCTCCCATTGCTGTGCTTCATATAACAGCTCATAATCTTCTGACTCACTTTCTTCTTCATATAGGTCAAAATCACTGTCATAGTTTATACCTGTAAGTTTTGACAAAGCTAATGAAACACGTTTACCATTTGTATCTATTGCTTTTATATATCTCCCATTATGCTTGTAGTCATAAACGCTCAAACTAACTTTACCCTTTCTCCCTCGTATCTGATAGAATGTATTTTCACGAGGAACGAAGAACAAATTCTTGAACTCATGACCGTTGTAGTTTGTTATCTCAATAGTTTTCGTCATTTATATAAAAATAAAATAAAAAAATAAACTTAAAATTAATGATATCACCACCCTCACACGTATGAAAACATAGCGCAAAAATAAATTTAGGTGAAGTGGTGAAATCTCACCTCTTTTTTCACCTCTTTTTTCACCTCATGAATTCATTGCTTTATAACTCTCTTCCTTGGTTTCTTTTTAGTTGCTTTCTTCACGTCTGTCTCCAACTTGACTGTCTTTCTTCTTCGTCCGTAATGATACCAGTTACTTCCACCAGTCAATGGGTCAAATGGTCTTTCGTAAGGGTTTCCATACATTCCATAGGGACCATACGGAAGAACTACTGGTGGAGGAAGAGTTCCATCGACTCTATTTAAATGCATTGTTTCACCTTTCATCTGGTCATTAAAGTCTTTTGCGTGTTTTGCAAACTCATCGTCCTTTCCTAAAGCATTTTCTGACTCAGTCGCAACCAAATTGGATGCTTTATTTATGAGCCCTATTTTATTTAATCTTAACTTCTTTGCAACCCAGCCTCCAATCTTTCCTTTATTTGCATCTAATGTCTTCGAAACCCTTCCTCCACTCATTTTATTTACTGCGTCATAAGCTCCAAGTGCTTTTGCTCCAAATGCTAATGCTTTTGTTCCCATTGCGCCTAAAGCTGCCCAAGCTACCATTTACCCCATATTAAAATCATCTCTCTTCAATATTATCTCATAAAAGTTCTCGTTACTGGAGAAAGTCAATGAAACATAAACATTCTCACGTGCTTCGCCCTCACCGCTTTGCGGTCTATCTAACTTCTTTCTTATCTCATCTATTCGCTTCAAAATGTCTGAACAATTGCTAACATCTTCTACAACAGTTATTTCATCATGACTGACCTTCAAGAACAAGCTCATTTAATATGCAATTAAAATCATCTCAATAATGAGTCCATCCTTTCCATCTTTTGGTAGCACAACATCTTTCATTGAAGAAGGTTCGACAAGTCTTATGTTAAACTTACTGACAAAGTTTGTTATACTATAATGCTTTGGCGGCGAATACATATAGTTTGAAAGACATAATATAGATTCTTCAGCAAATTCACTTATACTGGATTTTATAACATGTTTCACGAGACCAAATACCACCAATTGACAATCTTGTAAGCAATCCTGCTGAACCTTCTACTGTAAACATCGATGGTAACATTCCACGAAGGTCATCTATTGACATCGTTGAGTCACTGAATTTAAATATTTTCTTAAAGCAATCGTCATTATCTAACCATGCAATAGCTTTGAAGTTTTCATTCGAATATACATCTGCTTCATTAAATGTAAAACCTGACTTCTTTGCAGAGATGACTTTAAAATCTATTGAGTTTGTTTCAAAATTATATGCTATGGTAACTTCTGAAGGTAATGGATGCCCTTCCGCAGTAAGTTGTTCTCTCTACCGTTTGAAGCTTTGTTAAAAAACTTTCATGTCATCTCCTGTGTCTAGGTTCACATACACAGCAACAGGGAAAACTATCTTGCTTCTTTGTTTCATCATTATACCTCAAAACATTAAAGTTCTTCAATAATATTGTCCTTCCTGCTGGAATACTTCGAACCTGTCTGATTTCAATAGCTTTCTCACCTCCTACATACTCTACCCAGTGTCTTGGATATTCATAAGTATACTGACTTTCTTGAATTTTGGTTGGTTTCATCATAACGTGTTCATAGTATATCTTTATACTCTTGTCAGTTAGACTCGGTGCTATGTTCTGAATATTTCTGACTTGCATTTTTAATGGAGATAAAATGAAGCATTTAATACATGACGTAGATGAAGACATGAATGAAACTACAGACAAACTTAACTCTTCTCTCATTCTTCCTTTCAGCAAAGATTATGAATTCGTTCAAATGGTGTGTATTTCTATTGTGGAAAGATGGGTTCAGGTAAGACATTTAACCTCATTCGTCATATACTCATAACAGAGCGTTTAGGTCAAGATTCATATTATGACCAAATCATTATATCAGCAACTTCAGACTCTATGGACTCAACAGCGAAAACATTTATGTCAAAAGTTCAAGCATCTGTCGTTAAAGTTCCAGATAGCGAACTCATTGAATTTCTTCAACGTTACGTTCGACGTAAGAGGAAATATTATGCTATTGTAGAGTTCATACAGTCAGGAATGCAAAAGACTTCAGAAGAGATGGAAAGAATTATTGACAAACACCACTTACGTCAATACTCAGGAGTTTACGATATGAAACGACTTACAAACTACATTCTGTCAAAACTTTCAAAATACCCCTTCAAAAAGTATCCTTCAAATACTCTGCTCGTTTGCGACGACTTCGCCGGAAAAGGTTTAGTGTCAAAGCCTGACTCACCATTAGCTAACATCATTACTAAAGTCAGACATTACCACTTAACTGTAGCAATACTTATGCAAACATGGCGTTTTCTTGCTTTAAACATAAAACGTCTCATAACTGACTTCGTTATCTTTCAAGGTTTCTCACGTTATGATATTGAACTCATTTGGAAACAGTCAGGTATAACATTACCTTTTGAAGAAATTTGGGAAGCATATAAGTCTCTCATCTCTCCTCGTTCATACCTTGAGATTCATATCATGACTAATACCATTAAAGTCAAAAATATTCCATGGGAACGACCAACATTGTTTTAAAGTTTAACTTCAATTGACTGATGGTAAACAAATTCCATGCATCTCTGTCGCCATTTCTGTTAATATTTTTGCTGTCATTCATATCATCCACTTCTCCATCCGTTAGCTTTTTGAGGATATGCGTTAGAATAGCTGTTCTTAAATGAAGGCTTTTCACCTTTGAGAGCATAAACTCTATAACTTTCTGCATACTTTATGTTTGAACCTCCTGAGCCATCATTGACATAAATTTTTATAGGCTTCCACCCTTTGTTCATGTTCCTGCTTCTTCCCTTAGCTCTTTTGTTCAGTAGTTCTACATCTTTATACACAGCACCTGTCTCGGTGAATTCAAAATATTTTCATTCGTTAGCTTTACATTCAAACCCTTGTCGAGTATATTGTTCATTTCATACATATAAAAGGTTTTTATTCTATATGAAATGAGAAGCAAATCCATCTTAGCTGGTGCCGTTAATGTTCCAATTGAACCAACATCAAATGTTGACTCACGAACGACAAACAATATTGTCATAAAGAACTATAGTTCAGAGTGTTTGAAAGAAAAAGAACCAGAACTGAAATCCGTGAATTTAAACACAGCTTCAAACGCTAACGCTACATCAGATGTTAAGTTAGAGTATCCACCACTGGACCAAATTCTTTCAAGAGAAGCCAACGACAACCCTTACATAAATGTTCAAACAAATCCTTCAGATAACGTAGACCATTACCTTCTTCAGTTATACCAAACAATTTTACTCAAAGACGATAAGAAGCTTTTGACAAATCTTATAAGCAAGAACCAAATAATTCTAACAAAGGAGGACCTTGAAAATGTTATATCACGAATAACAGGGAAACAATGTGTCATTGACTATCTCGACCCTGAAATCGAATGCTGTGGTCAAACGCCACCATTCATGAAAATAGGTAACATCCGCATCATTGAAACACCAGGAACTACAGGAGTTGAGTTTAAGTATAAATATTCGAACGAGTATACAAAACTTTCAACAGAATATAAGCTTTGTTTGAAATATGTTTTAGTAAATTAAAGCAACTTATAGTATCTATCCAAAACTTCTTCAACAGTATCGAACTCATCTTCATAATGCAAACCTAATCTTATTGACTTGGTGCAGTTTTCACTAACACAATATAGCGCTTTGCGCTCGGCGCCTTTGACGCCTTTTTCTGTTCTCTTGACTGACATAACTAACTCATTTGTTTCATCAAACAGCAATAACCAAAGTTCATGACCTAATACATAACATTCATACTTTATATTTTTAGCTCTGAGTTCTCTTGTAAGCTGTTGCATTTAATATTTTCTAAAAAGTCAACTTCAACAGTCATTCGCACTGGTGCCTTCAGTTCTACAGGCTCGCCCTTGAAAGTCAACAAGTCTGAATTGCATGTCTTTCAAATTATGAGGACTAATGCGAACCCATTTACCTAAATGAGTTACTATGACAGGAACGTTTGGAATGAACATTGAATTGACTGCATAACAGAAGGATTTATATTCTACTGAACCTTTACTATTAACTCCTGAAATACCTGTGACATTAGCTATTTTTGACTCAACGTATAAACAATTACCATAACATACGTATGGAACAGATTTCATCTCAATCGTTTTGTCAACACTTTTCAAAGGAATGTCATATGGTATGCTCCCAGAAGCAATTGAACTCTATGACTCATTCGTGTTATCTTAAACTCCTTCGCATAACTGAACTTCAAAACTCCTGCAATAAGTTTAACATTCATTAAGTTTTCTTCGTTCTCCTTGTTTATTGTAGTATTTATGAGCGCATTTAACACTCCAGCTAATGTTTCCATCTTATATTCTACATTATTGTGAAATCTTATTTCGTGCTTCTTTCCATCTATTTCAAGCTCCATGAAATCTGTTTCATCTGTTATAACGAATGAAGCGATAGTATTGAAGTCAACAACTCTGAAAGCAAGCGCTTCATTCTGAAGACCTAAGTTTGTTTGTAGCTTTACTGTCCCGTATTCGTTTGGGTCTGTACTTTGCAAATAGAACAACATTTTATTCTCATTAAAATATGAGTATTGCTGCATATGCGTATGAAGCTGACAGAGCTAAACGTTTATATTTTGGTCAATACTCTCTCACACTTACTGACAAATATATTGTTATTTCTGATGGAAATACCGAGAAATACATAACATGGAAGGACTATGAAAAGTTTGACCCTATTTTAACTCCATGCACTATGCCATTCATTGTAAATGGTGAAGTTGTCATGAAGAACGACACAACAGTATATAAGTCTGTATATGAAGCGTTAGAATATATGTTGAATTATAATCCCGAAAGATTTGACCCAAGCACTACGTCATGTACAATGCCTTTTATTAAGGATGGTGAAATCGTAAGAGTTCCGAATTCAACGGTTTACACAGCTGTTCAAAACAGTTTACAAAACATTTTAGCGAATATCTTTAATTCAGAAACTACAGAAATAAAATTACCATATATAACAGATGCTAAAGAAATTAAATCAAAAACGACAACATTATTTACGTCACTTAATGATTTAATGACTTATATCATTAATATTCCTGCACCAACTACAGCATTTGATCCAAACTCGACGGTTTGCAGTGTACCTTTCATAAAGTCGCAAACGGACTCTTTGAGTCCTGAAGGTCTTTCAGACCGAAGCGACCAGGGCGAAGCCCATGACAGTTCATTAATTGTTTTAAGGGATTCAACAGTTAATGAATCATTAAAGGCGTCATTAATGAAAATCATTGATTTTAATTCATTCACGAATACATATAATTCATTCATTAATGTTTCATATGCTTCTAAAGAAGGTGAGCCAAAAACTATCGATAAAGCGGTGTATGAAATAAAAGCATCAACGACGAAATTGAATTCGTTAACTTTTGACGGTGATAGTTTCGTTAATGACATAACATCGGGGAAAACAATTTTAACGAAAGAATATTTAAAATCTCATGTTAGTGAGTTCGTTGAAATTGAAAAAGAAGGTGGAATTAAGTTCGATCCACTGAATTTCATTTTCAGCTTAGCGAATGCGGGTGTTAGTTTCGCTGAATGGACAACTATACAGAGTGAAATAAATGCAATATGGACGTTTTTGGGGTCAAAAGCGGGAATGGGTGAGCTTGTAAATGCTGCAAGAACATTAGGTGAAACAGGAAATTTTGTAGATGGTTTTAAAAGACTTGTTTCAAATGTTTTAACAAACACAAAGAAATTATTTAGATATACCATACATAACGGACGGATTTTCGAACAGGTAGCAACAAACCCTCCGGTTATGGCTGCGTTGATGATGGTTAGAGATATAAAACCACGTAACGACGGGAACGAAGAACATGAACAACAGAGCCCAACGGGCTCAGAGCCACATAGTGGCGAGGATACTGGTCGGGTTATTCAAGACATTAAAAACGTGTATCCTGAAGTTATTGATTTATTTAGAGGAGTTAATGATTCAATTTCAAAACATTCTATAACCCTCGATGAAGAGAATAAATTAACAGATTATATATTCGTCATTATTGCAGAATTAATGAAGAGAATAAATGAAAAAGGAATTGGTGATATCATTAATGTCAGCGATGTAATGATGAAAAGAAATTTTGACTCATTATTTACAAAACCGAAAACAGAATATAGTCTTTATGACGTAATTACCGAATTAATGAAAAAGATTAATGATAATAAGAGTTCTGGCGGAAGAGTTGAATTAGAAGTGAATGATGTTAATGAGAAATTAGCCGAAAAAGCAGATAAAAACCACGTTCATTATATAACTTCAGACGAACAGATTATAACGGACTACCATGGATATTTAACACGAAGTGATGAAGCGAAGACAAAAAATGTTAATGAAAGAAGATATAAATACATTCGTGCTAAAGGTTATGACATAAGCTGTACTGTACAGTATGACACAGGTAAAGCACCAGAAGCATTTAGTTATAACGATGAAATTTATGCCTCTACTTTCTCTGTTAATGGTGTATTAGTTGAACCAAGATTTATGTTAAGAGTTAAGGCAAAAATAACGTTTGAAGATGCTATTAAAAGTAAAGCTGACAAAGTTGAACTTGACGCAACGAACAAAGTTTTGAAATCTCATAAACACAACATCTCCGATATAAATGAACTTCAAACTTCTTTAGACAGTAAAGCTGACAAGAACCATACACATAAATCCTTCACTACTGTTAGAGCAGACGACATAATATTGAACTTTGACCTTGGTTCAAGTGCACCATTAGAAAATCCAAGTACAAGCGTAAAAGATACTCTTAACAGTTTAGATAACAGTTGCAGGAACATTGAAAGTCATGCCAGAAACTTTGAAGCACATGAACTACCAGCAATGTTAGATAAGAAAGCAGACAAGAACCATACACATAAATCCTTCACAACTGTTGCTATAGAAAGTATTGAAGGAACGGTTGAAGAAACTGGTGGGGAGGGCGGAGCCCCGCCGCACGCGGCTGCATTATATTGTAAACCTCCTAACTTTCCACAAGGTTTAACATCGGATGACGACATAACGACGATGAGAAACATTAGATGTAAAGATGTTTATGTCATGAAGGATGAACATAATATTAAATTCACTGCTCAAGATTTATATGACAAGAAAGCAGACAAGAACCATACACATAAATCCTTCACTACTGTTAGAGCAGACGACATAATATTGAACTTTGACCTTGGTTCAAGTGCACCTTTAGAGAATCCGAGTACAAGCGTAAAAGATACTCTTAACAATTTAGATAAGAGTTGCAGGAATACCGAAGATCATGCCAGAAACTTTGAAGCATATGAACTACCAGCAATGTTAGACAAGAAAGCAGATAAAACTTATGTGGATGCAGAACTAACAAAGAAATTTTCGAAACCAGATACAATGACATTTACAACAGAAATTATAAATGGTGAACCAGCAACTCCATTTGAATTTGTTAGAGGTCTTCAACCAGATACTTTTGAATTTTTCTTGGATAATTCTATTGAACTAACATTACATTATAAAAGTGGAACAAATGCAACATTTCATCCGGGAGATACATTCCAAATGGTATTTAATGACATAAGTTCTTTAGAATATGTTTATAGAGTTATGAGCATATATGATTTAATATATCCTATAGGAGCTGTTTATACGTCTATGAATCCAATAAATCCAAACACTTTATTTGGTGGTAGATGGTATGAAATAGTTGACAGTTTTCCATTCTACACTAATACGCAGTCAATGAAGATGGGAGGTTCAAAGAAAATAGGTATTGAAAACCTTCCTTCACATATGCATAGGTTCAGTGGAAGAACATCTGTGGAAGGAAACCATTCACATTCAATAACAAAAAAGAGGTTATACAAATCTTGCAGCGGGTTCGGATAGACAGGGAATGAACAGATATGATATCACAACTGACCCCAAAGATGTTAGCACAGGTATTTTCTGTGGAACTGCAGGAAATCATACACATGTTGTAGCTGGTATTACAGACCCAGCAGGTAATGGAAAAGATTATATGCCTCCTTATATAACAATGCACGCTTGGATACGAGTTGGTTAAAATCTTTAACTTTACATAAATGAGCTTGAAAGAAGTATTCGAACAACATCCATGGAGGTCATTTAAGAAGTTCAATGAAGCTGCAAAGAGTTCGGGATTTACTAACAGAGCTGAAGTGAAAAGGTTCTTTGACAAAAATGTTGTACATCAAACAAAAATAAATCCTTACGACTACTTTTTACCAATTTACTCCAACACTCCTGACGCATACCAATTTGACACTCTCATTCAAAGCAGAAAAGGAGGACATAAACCATTCCTCATCTTCATAAATGTTAACACTCGTAAAGCATATGCGTATATAATGAGAAATAAAGGAACTCATGAAGTGTTAAGAGTTTTACAAAAGTTTGTAGCAGAACATAGCCCAAGTATTTTAACATCAGACCAAGACGGTGCATACCTCAGCAACGAAATCACAGAATTTCTCATTAAGCATAACATAACTCACTACACTACTGAAGACCATAACCATAACATACTCGGTATCATTAACCGCTTCATAAGGACTCTCAGAGATTTAAATCAAGAGCGAGACTTTACCGAAGAAACAATGAAACATTTTCTCGAAGTATATAATTCCTCAACACATTCTACAACAGGACATACACCAAATTCAATGACACAACAACAAGAAGAAAAGTATATACAAAAGAAACGAAGCCAAACACAAAATATCAGAAATTCAACACAATTTACTCTCATTCCTGGTACAAAAGTTCGTGTAGTTCTTGACGACAAACCATTGACAAAGAAACGTTTAAGGTTAAGTCGAAATTATTATATCGTAGACTCTACGCAAGGTAATGGATATCTTATAAAAGCTGCTGACGACTCCATAGCATTTTACCCTCGACATAAATTAGTCGAAAGTAGTAATGGCAAACTTGCTGAAACCATTGACGAAGCAAAGCGAGGAGTGGTTATTGAAATACTTGACTATAACACAAACGATGACACTTATAAAGTAAGATATGAAGGAGGCGTTGAAGATGTTATACCATCTAAGAACTTGAGAGAATCTAAACCAACTCATCTGGGACCATTAGAGCGGGAGTACTGGAAAGATAAAAACATGCCAGAAAGAATAAGAAAATTCTTCTAAACTTTTTCGTTGGATGTAAATCAGACATGAATGAGAACAGTCATGTATTATTAATGGTACCATTTATTTTTGTCATAAATTTACACCAAAAATATAATTGAGGTGAAGAGGTGAGATTTCACCTGTTTTCTCACCTCTTTTTTCACCTCTTGAATTTTTTATAACATTCGGTCATAACTTCATCAATTTCATTTAAATCACGATTTAAAAACTCATTGACTTCATCTTCAACCGTGTCATCTTGTAATAAGAATATTTTCTTTAGTTTCATGTCAACATCCCGAACAGCACAAAGGATAAAATCATATTCATTTCTTCCGTTAAACATACTTTTTCTTTCTCGTTCATCGTTAAATAAATTATTGAAAATATAAACAGCGGTGTAAAAGTTATGTACTGTGTTAAATGTTGAAGCTTCACCTATTTTAGATTTTAGGATTCTTTTAGTAAGTAAATTGTTATCGTTCTTTCTCTTTTCCTTATCGTTCATGTCGAATCTGTCGAACCACATATCCTGTATTTCATCGAATTTACGAACTATAGAATCCGTCATTTCCCTGGTTAATGAGGGGTAATCATTATTAATTTTTTCATATAATTTGTCCATATGATTTTCATCGACGTTTCCGGAAAGCATTTAATTAAAGCAAAAATATATTATAGGTGAAGAGGTGAGATGTCACCTCTTTTTTCACCTGTTTTCTCACCCCAGTTTTTCACAAGCGTTTTACATGAATTGTACGATGTATATTTGAAATCCTAAACAATTTCGTAGCTTCTATTTTCTTCTGTCAGTATGTCAAAAGTTTTAACAATGCCGAAAGTTTCTTTATATTTCTTCTTGACGTCAGATAGAAGGAAATCGTCAGCAGTTGGATAGTTTTTGTTCAGAAATGCTAACATGTCCATTTTATTTTCTGCTGGCTTTTCTGCTTCTTTCTTTAAGTCTGCATAGTCGTTTCGCATTCTTTCTATCTCTTTGACGGAGTAGTTATATTTCCTAATTGCTGCTTTACATTTAGAACATTGCGGGTTCATTTTTGCGTTATACATTGAAACCTTACCTGCTAAAACAACTAAAGCGTCAATGGTTTTCTTTAACTCAAAAGCAGTTGGTCTTATCTGTTCGTTCCATATTTTACCTCTTCTATCTTTATCTCTTATCTGCCATACACATTCAGCAACTAACGAAACAAAGTTATCGTAGGTCTTAAACTCCCCGGATTTATATATGTCAGAAACATTCTTATATACCATGTCGCAATCTTTGTCCATAACCTTATGGTTGCAATGAAATCCTAGAAACTCATAGTTTACCTTTCGAATGAACTTCTTTATTTCTACTGAGTAAACTTACGACAAAGTTTGTTATACTATAATGCTTGCGGGACGTAATACATTGTTTGAAAGACATAATATAGATTCTTCAGCAATTCATAACTGATTTTTAACAATGTTCCATCGAGACCAAATACCACCAATTACGAATCTTGTAAGCAAATCCTGGAACTTTACTGTAAACTCGATGATAACATTTCCACAAGGTCATCTATTGACATCTTTGAGCACTGAATTAAATGATTTTCTTAATAAGCAATCGTCATTATCTTACCATGCAATAGCGTTGAAGTTTTCAATTCATATACATTGCTTCATTAAATGTAAAAACCTGACTTCTTTGCAGAGACGACTTTTAAAATCTATTTGATTTGTATATCAAAAATTATATGCTATGTGTAACTTCTGAATTAATGGTGCCTTCTCCGCCAGTGTTGTCTCTCAACTACCGTTTGAAGCTTGTGTTAAAAACTTTTCATTCATTCTCTGTCTTGAGTTCACCATAGCACACAAAGGGAAAACTTATCTTGCTCTTTGTTCATCATATATCTCAAACATTAATAAGTTTTCAATAGATATTGTCCTCCTCTGTGGAATTACTTAATTTCTGTATTCAATATGCTTTCTACCTCCTACATTACTCATACCCAGTGTCTTAGATATTCAATAAGTATATTGACTTTCTTGAATTTTGGCTTGTTTCATCATAACGGTGTTCATAGTATATCTTTACTTATCTCATGATTCAGTTAGACTCGACCTGTAATTTCTGAATATTTTCGACTTCGGCAATTTAATGTAATAAAATGACAGCATAGTTAATACGACGATAGATGAAACTATGAATGTACAAACCTCTAGGACAAACTTAACTGCCTTCTACATGTATCTCCTATTCATGAAAGATTGAGTTCTCGTTCTGTACAAAATGGTGTGTATTTCTATTTTGGAAAGATGGTTCATGGTAAGACAAATTTAACCTCATTCGTCAAATACTCATAACAGAAGCCGTTTATGGTCAAGCATTCAATATTATGACCAAATCTATATCACAACATTCAGACTCTAGTACTCTAACAGCGAAAACATTTATTGTCAAAAGTTCCCAAGCACTCTGTCGTAAATATCCAGATAGCGAACTCATTGAATTTCTTCAACTTACTTCGACGTAAGAGGAAATATTATGCCATTCGCTTGAATTATACAGTCAAGGAATGCCAAAGACTTCAGAAGAATGGAAAAATTATTGACAAAACACACTTATACGTCCAATACTCAGGAGTTTACGATATGAACGACTTCAACTACATTCTGTCACAAACTTTCAAAATACCCTTCAAAAAGTACCGTTCAAATACTCTGCTCGTTGCGCGGACGACTTCGCCGGAAAAGGTTAGTGTCAAAGCTGGACTTACCATTAGCTACAATTCTTACTAAAAGTCAGACATACCACTTTAATTAGCAACTTATGCAAAACTTGGCGTTTTTGCTTAATACATAAAACGTTCATAACGACTTCTTATCTTTCAAGGTTTCATACATGCTATATATTAACTAGTTGAAAAACAGTCAGGTATAACCATTACCTTTGGAAATTTGGGAAGCATATAAGTCATCTCATCGTCTCCTCGTTCATACCTGAGATCATATCTATGAAATATACCATTAAAGTCAGAAAATATTCCATGGTAAACGGACCAACATTGTTTAAAGTTTAACCTTCAAATGACTGATGGTCAAAAAATTTCCATGCAATCTCTGGTCGCCTTTCGTTTAATATTTTGGCTGTCATTCGATATCAGTCACTTCGTCCCATCCGTTAGACTTTGAGGATATCGTTAGAATAGCTGTTCATTAAATTGAAGCTTTTCACCTTTGAGGATAAACTCTATAACTTTCTGATACTTTATGTTGACTCCTGACATCATTGACAAGAATTAAGGCTTCAAGCTTTGTTCAGTGTTTCTGCTTCTTCTCTTAGTCTTTTGTTCAGTAGTTCTAATCTTATACCACACTCAATGTCGTGATTGCAACAATATTTCATTCGTTAGCTTTACATTCAACCTTTGTCGAGTCATTAGTTCTATTTCATACAGTTATTAAAGCGTTTGTTATTCTATACTGAAATGAGAACAAATCCATCTTAGGCTGGTGCCGTTAATGTTTCCAATTGATCAACAGTCACACATTTGACTCAACGATACGCAAACAATATTTCATAAAGAACTATAGTCGTCAAGTGTTTGAAAGAAAAAGAACCAATAATCGGAGGCTAGACATATGCGCGTGAATTTAACATCAGTTCAAAACGCTAACTACATTAGATGTTAAGTTAGAGTATCCACCACTGACAAATCTCTTCCAAGAGAAGCCACGACAACCCGAACAAATGTTCAAACCAAATCTTCAGATAACGTAGACCATTACCTTCTTCAGTTATACTCAAAATTCTTACTCAAAGACGTAAGAAGCTTTTGCAAATCTTAAAGCAAAACCAAATAATCTAAAAAAGGACCTTGAAAAGTTTATATCACGAATAACAGGGACAATGTTGTCCATTTTGACTTCTCGGACCTGAATCAACATCTGTGTCAAAAGCCACCATTCATTGAAATAGGTAACAGCCGCATTCATTGAAAACACCAGGAACGAACAGAGTTGAGTTTAAGTATAAATATGAAGCGAGTATACAAACTTTCAACCAATATAACTGTTGAATAGTTTAAAAAAGTACCTAGATTGCGCTTGGTTTCAAAATGTTTAGTAAATTCAAAGCAACTTCATAGATATCTAATCCAAAAACTTCTTCAACAGTATCAACTCATCTTCATAATGCAAACCTAATCTTATTGATTGGCTGCAGTTCCTCAACACAATATAAGCCGCTTGCGCTCGCCCATTTACGCCTTTCTGTTCTCTTGATGACATTAACTACTCTTGTTTCATCAAACAGCAACAACCCAAAGTTTCATGACCTAATACATACATTCATACCTTATAGATTTTGCTTCAGTTTCTCTTGTAACTGTGCATTTAAATATTTCTATAAAGTCTACTTCAACAGTCATTTTCGCACTGGTCCTTCTAGTTTACAGCGCCTCCTTGAAGTCAACAGTCTGAATTGCATGTCTTTCAAATTATGGAGACTAATGCGAAAACCCATTTAACCTAAATATGAGTGCTATGACCAGGAAGCGTT